CTATCAACTCTTTACTAGTCACAGATCTGACACCCCAAGTGTAAGGTATCCTATATAAATACAACTTGTTTTAATAACTGATTGAAAAGGGTTTTGCAGTTTTAGTGAAAATAAATATTACATTTCTGGACATTAGGCACAAATAAAACAAAAACAAAAAAGACAGCACGTGGGGTGGTCCCCGTTAGCCGCCAACAACTCTCCACCCCCTTTGTGGAATATTTCGGCTAAATGACAGTACAAATAAAAATAAAAGTATTTACACACATAGCCACAGGGTGGGTGCTTTGTCCTCCAATGAACACAAAAAAAACAGATTTCACAGTGAGTAAAAACCACTATTTTATTTTTGGTTCATTGAAGGTCACAGGAGTGTCACAATAGGACAGGCAAAAATAAAATGTATAAAAAGGCTAGCCATCTTAAAAGAGAACAATAACTCAAACTGCTGCCTGCAAAACTTTACACCCAAAATTGGCATCAGCTGATGCTGCCACATTCACCTTGTAAAAGTTGGTGAATGTATTAAGTGAGGACCAAGTGGGCATCTTACAAACATGAGAAATTGATGCATAAAGGCAGAAAGCCCAGAACGCACGTACTGCGCTGTAACCGGAAATGTTGGTTCTTTGTGGTAAATGACATACACTTGGACAACAGAACAAGTGTGAGATAGTAGAAACAGATCCTGCAAAGTCCTTAATTTGGGCCCTCTACAAGTGCCAACAAGGAATCAGTCCTATGAAACCCGGACTTGGCATTCAAATACACTAATTGCCCTGACAACATCCAAAGAATGTAATGCAAATTACTTAGGGTGCACTAACTTGGGATGAAGCAACAGAAGTACAATTTCTTCATTCAAGAGAAAAGCCGATACTACCTTAGGCAGGAAAGAGTCTTGGATGCAGGACGACCTTATCCAATTTCGGAAACCCTGTGTGTCAAAGTAATGGCAACTAGGAAAGCCACTTTCTCAGGGAGTGTTAGCAGTGGGGGATGCTGTGTTAGAACTGAGGACTACCGCAGCCCAAAAGCCACCTGAAGAACTGAGTCTGACACCAGATGAAGCCAAACCGCTGCATGAAAGGGGCATCTGACATGATCAAGGGGAGGAGACCGAGTATCAACCTAATATCCAAAACCAAGAAAAAAATTATCACTAACCAGAGGGGGGCAACGAACCTTGAACCAAGTGAGATGCTGGTCAACCTAAACCCATCAAGGGATGGAACAAACAAATTAAAAATTAGCCTTTGCCAGCAGGAGCAGCATGCTTCCTCCAGGCTAAATGGCAGGAAAGAGAGTGTGAGTTATTTGACCGAGCAGATTACATTAACATTTGATCCTTCAGCATTAACTCTTACAGCCACAAATTAATGGAAAAAAGGGAAATTCAAAAGGTACGCAGCAGTCCAAAAAGCAGGGTAGCTCCTGATGCTTAGCATAATCGGCCTACTAAGAGTAAGTCTTTAGGGAAAGAGCAAAATGAGGCAATGTCAACTGATCTGGACCTAGAAAGCACTCTGCAGCTAACTTGTTACCAGAACACACATGGAAGCCATCTAATGCAAAACCAAGTGACCAAAGTTCACTTTCGGGTTAGCCTGGCAGCATCCAGTCCAGCAGAGTCTGGGTACAGCACTCCAAAGCCAGGATGAGGAAGGGTCAGATCCATGTAGAGACCAGCTCAAGTAGCAAAGCAGTAAGGAATCTAGATTAAAGTCAAACGGAACAAATAATATTCAGAAAAAAAGGCCAACCAAAAAAGTTAAATTTTCCCTAGCAGAGCTGAAGAAAAGATATCCATTCTTGTAGGTAATTAGCGAAAAAACTGAGACATGCTTGGAGAAGGAGAGGTTTCCCTGGGCTGGCGTTCAGATTCTTGTTTGCCATTGTCCAATACTCCTGTAGGCAGCAGTCTCACCTGAAAGAAAATGCCCTAACCAAGACTCTACTTGCCTTCATTCACCTTTGGTTCATGGTACTAATTTAGCATTAATTGATTTGCACTAGTGTTTAAATTTTAACAAACACTCTGGCCACCACCAATATGCTAGATGAACTCCTTCGCCATCACCCCAGAGTGCATGGAATTTTCTCTTTCTTTGGCAGGAAAGAAAGCAGACAGCATGTTGTGCAACAGATGCCAGAAAATCCCTTTAAGAGCATTACAAGAATTCTGCAATCTAGTGTTACAGGCAAAGAAGAACACATTGTCCTAAGCAATTCACACAAAAAAAAACCAGGTTGTGGTGGATCTTCCTAAAAAATTGCAAGATATTTATTTACAGTTTTAACAATTTTCTCTATGATAAAAGAGCACAGTGAGGAGATTGTTGCATACCTGGCCATTTCCAAGAAGAGAAGTATCTTCACCCATCAGAAAATATGACCCAAAAAAGAAGATAAAGGCATGCCCAAAGCCCAGAAAGGTCCAGTAAATGAAAGGTTTAAATCCAAGTAGGGCATTTTTACTAATGTCTCTGTGGAAATTGCAGAAATATCAATAAATCACCAACTGAACCATTATTTGATCGAAACCATAACTGTTCATATACATTACTAAGCTAGTGAGGAAGAAATCTCCAAATAATGATACAGTACATCTGCATCAGCTAAAAACAGGGATTTTATTACTACTACATGGTGTTTAACATGTTACAATATATCTATACTGGAGACTTAGGGCTCATTCACATAGCATTAAGTCGGGCCGTACATGTCCATGCGGCGTGCAATCCCGTATCGGGCTGTTCCCGGGAGGGACAGGTGCTGCGTGCAACAGCATGTTCTTCCATATGGGAGGACGTGGCCATACACTGTCATACACGCACCCAAACTGCAAACCCGTGCAAGTCCAGGTGTCCGTGCTCAGTCGCGGACAGGGTCCTCCCATGGGGGAAGGACAGGCTGCTACGCGCAGCACCTGTCTCTCCTGGGAACGGCTTGATATGGGCGTGCACAGCCTGACTTAACGCTGTGTGAATGAGGCCTAAAAAAGCAAACCTAAAATCAAACAGAAGTCCTCTTCTCTCAGGATTAAATAACTAATTGTGACTTACCTGTAGCCTTTTGCTTGGAGTACATTACAGAATACCATAGTCTTAGACCATAGTTTATGCAGCTGCCTTCAAGTGATTGGATACTGACAAACAAAGCAGTAAGGACAGCCCTATATAACCCCTCCCACTAACAGCAAGCCTCAGCTTTGTAGAAAGCAATAAGAACGAATCCTATGAAAACAGTGCAGAGGGACCTGAGTCCTCTAATGCACTCCAAGAAACTTATTTTATAGGCAAGACAAAAAATCCTATTTTCTTAATCGTACATTACAGGGCACAGAATCTTGTAGAGTTAGACCAAAGGACAGTTTCTGCAGAACAGAAAGAACCAGGTTGAGACCCCACTGACTCACTGGGGAACGTACAGTGGGAAAAATGTGAGTGACATTCTGTGCAATGTCCTTCACCAAGGAGTGAGAGGCAAGTGATCTTTGGAAAATAATTATCAAGGATGAGAATTGGCCCTAATGGTACTTAAGCCCAATGCTGATCCTGACTGGATTGGAGAAAAGACAGGATACATCCCACGGAGTACTTCTTGGGCTGAAACCTCCTAGACTTGCAATGGTGGCCTTAGAGGTGCAAGGGAGACTTTGGGAATAGTTGGTTTCTTAACCTTTAAGAGCATTAGGGATAACTGAATTAGCTAGACCCTGTCCCTCAGGAGCTAGGCTTAAACAACCAAGCTGTTAAAGCCAGAAAGGGATAAGAAGCAGGATGGTGGACTGGCCCTTGGGAAAAAATATATGGATGATTCAGAAGGGCCCACGAAGAGTGACAGTAGTCTGAGAATGTCTGAGTACCCAAGTTCTCCAGGGGAAGTTCAGTGCAATTAGGTTCACGCAAATGCCCTTTATCCCGATGCTGCAAGGAAGACAATAGACAAAGAAGGAGAAGGAGAAGGAAAGAGCTTAATAGGGGGAAAGCCCTTGACCAAGTTGAACTTATCCCACGAAGTCACCAGAGCATCCACTGCAAAGATTTAGGACCCATCCGAATCTCTGCAGGTTCTGCATGGCTCATTGGCTGACAGATTCTGGACTGATTGCTCCTGTATTAGAAGATAGTGAGAGTGAGAGTGAAGCAGCACTAAGACAGGCACTAACACCTTGGTGCAGACCCATGGTTGAAGGGAAGCAAACTCTGACTGGGCACAGATTCCATGCAGAATATTTGTACTTAAAAGGAATCTATTAAGGACCTTTAGATCCAGAATGGGAAGAGTGCCTCCATTTGCCTTGTGGACGGTGAATAGGTTCGAATAGAACCCATGTAACCTTTCCTCTTCTGGAATTGGAGTTATGCCCTGAGACAGAGAAGCTGCTGGAAAGCAGAGTGGAGATCTGCCTGCCTTTTCGAGGAGACTGGCAAGCTTGACAGCATGAAGTGAGGTGAAAGCAGAGACCAAAACTAGTTTATAGTCCCTAGACACAATGTTCTTGACCCAAACAAGGGAGATGTCCTGGGACCAGATGGGAGTGAAGGACAAGTGGGGCAACCTCAAGAGGCTTGATCCTGGACTTAGTGGGCATGGAGAGCCTGGTCTTACAGTAGAACCCTGGTGCTTAAGTAGAAAATGTCTTCACTTCCAGAGCCAAAGGCTTACCTGCAGGAGCTTTGGTCTTTTTCTGGGAAACAGCATCCTATTGCCCCTTGTGCTGATCGTGAGATTGATGGGCCTGCAGACCCATTCACTTTGTGCCTATAATCCACCTTCCATGTGTGGTAAGCTAAAATGCCATTAGGGTTACTCACAACCCATCACTGCAGAGCAGGAAGGGTTTGGCTTTTGTGACCAGTCACTGTAGGCAGAGGGGCCCAGTACATCCAAGGATCACTGTGCTGTGATCTTTCCTGACAAAAAGCAGCTGACAGCATGGGTGGAATGAGAAAAAAAATGTCCCGTGCATGCCATGACACAGGCCATTGGAATTAAACAGAAAAGGAGACAAATGTAAATGAGGATGTACCACAGGGTGCACCAAATTCAGATGTAAAATGTACCAGAATGTCCCCTGCAACAGTATGGGTACTGACTAAGTCGCGGCTAGAGCACCACAGTTAGATCCTAAGGGAACGGAGTGCAACAGCACACTGAGCTCCCATGAAGGGCAGAAGCCCTGGCTTAAACGGCACTTGTGGTCCTCCATCAGTCAAGGGTGGATTGTTAGAGGCAAGACCCATACAGATCTTCATCCTCCTGGTGAGCTCACCCCTTTGGGGTTCTCAGGGACTGGGCCACAACAGGCAACAGTGCCACAGCCCTGGATCTACCGTGTTTCACTGAAAACAAGACACTGTCTTATATTTTTTTCTCCCCAAAAAAACACATTAGTTCTTATTTTCTTTTTTTTCATACAGTACTGGAGAAGGGGAGTGAAAGAATACTGTCACACACTGTCACAGTACGGTACCTGGCTGCAGCTGTCTGGATCTCTCCGCTCTGATGCTGTCCAGGGAGCCACCAATCAGAAGTTCCCTCACCTCAGCTGACCTCACTGGCCATGCCGCGCTGTGCCTGCTGGGAAATGTAGTTTTCAGCGGCAGCCGAGGCAGACAGGTGTATGTGCGGGCGGGAGGGAGCTGCGGCCAGTAAGCTTTTTGCGGTCTTGATATGTTTTACAAGACAAGCTGCGCATATAATTGAATTTTACACTCAGACCACTTGCACATGTATTGCTGCATCCAAGCAGCCAGCAAGGGGTCCGATTGTAAAATTCAATTATATGTGCAGCAACCCACGAAAATAAGGCCTAGCGCTATCTTCAGGGATTTCTGTAATATACGGTAAAACCTACCACCGAACTAGGTCTTATTTTCGGTGTATGTCTTCTATTACAGAAATCCCTGAAGATAACGCTAGGTCTTACTTTCGGGGAAACACAGTATATAGCACCCTGCTGTTAAAGCGTTACACTAGGTTCCTTAGGCAAACGTCTAATACAGAATTCAGTGCACAGAGTAATGATACAGACTGGCCCTGCATCTCCCTCTAGATGGGGTTTACAGTACCCCAAGGCTCAGCTAAGGAGTCAAACGATTTAGAAAACTGCAAGAAAACTAAGAGCCACAGTGGCTATGTAGCAACTAGAATCTTGCTAGAAATGTCTAGGTAAAAACCAGTAGAAAGGAAAGAATATAAATGGGTTGCATCGCTCAGAGCAGAGAAGACATCGACACTAGCAAAAAAAAACGAGGCTTTCTGAGAGTGGGAGGGGTTATATAGGGCTGCCCTTACAACTTTGTTTGCCATCGTCCAATCACATGAAGACAGCTGCCTCATCTGATTTTGGTCGTAAAGTGCTTCAAGCTACTCTCCGAGTACTATTGAGCCTGTCTTGACCCATTTGTTACAATTGCCTGTTGGTGTACGTTTGCTGTGTTGTCTGCCCCTCAGTCAAAGTACTTTACAGGGCGCAGGTGCCTCTCCACTGTTTTCCTATGATTTACTCCTTATAAAGGTGCCCATACACCTTACGATTATCGGACGATAATCGTACGCGATCGACTTTTCGAACGACAATCGTACGTGTGAATAGAGTGCCCGAACCAACATTACTGTACAATCGTACGACTTTTGACGGTCAAGCATGTTTGAAAACTTTGCTCGATCGTACGATTGTTGTAAGGTTGCTGGCGTTTCCGTCCGTCAAAAGTCGTACGATCTACACTGCGCATGCGTGAACGAAAATACGACAAATCAATGACCGCATTTCGTCCAGGTGCTTGTCGTTAATTACGGCTAAATTAATCTTGCGATCATCGGGGCAGGATGGGTCTCAAGTACGAAAATCGTACGACTACTCGATCGGACGAAACGTTTCATCCGATAATCGTAAGGTGTATGGGCACCTTTACTTTCTACAAAAATGAGGCTTGTTGTGAGTGGGATGGGTTATATGGGGCTGTCCTAACAGCTTTGTTTGTCAGTATCCAAAACTTAGTTTAGTTTAACTACAGAAACCAGTACTCCACGGTAAAAAGTTACACAAACAAATGTCAAGAAATTGTTCATGTTGCCTGAAGGGGAGGATCAAAGTTACAGATTTTGGAGTGTTCGATGTTGAGCATTGCATTCTTTAATGGGGTTTTGCATAAGCACCATTATGTTAATAAGTACTTGCTTCTGAATTTCTATCTTAGAAACAGTGTCATGATATATATACACGTACTAAAATATAATGGTATAAACAGTTCAATTTTACTTTACAGATTGATGCAGTGCCCCGCAAAGTGTGTTTAAAACTGTGGTTTTATGGTGAATAGTGTGTTGTCTTTGTGTTTGAGGTGTTAAAAGGTAGACAACTCTAGAATTTACATTAAAGGGTTATTAAACCCTCTTTTTTTTTGCATATATCTACTGCTAGCAAGCAGTAGATATATGCAAAAACATGAAAAAGCGGTTTTAACTTACCTGTGTCTTCCCCGCGCACTCCCGTCCGAAAATCTGAAAATTCTCGGGCAGCCGCAAAGCATCTTGGGGCCGAAGCATGCGCAGTACAAATTTTCGGTCGGGAGAATGCACACCAGGATTACTGACTAATCTGGTTCTGAAAATTCTGAGGCTGGAGACAGCTAAAAAAATCAAGTCAGCAATTGCAGCCTGTGTATTCATTTCAGTGGCAGGTTTCTTGGTAATGCTGTGTGTATGCTTGCTGAAAAATGATGCTCTTCACCAGAACGTAATCATGCAAAATTCCACACAACTGAATTAGGTACACATCATTAAGAGAGTAAGCCAAGTTAGCCAAGTTTACAATCTTTACACAATCGGATAACAAAACATGTAAACTGCTAACAGATATAACAACAGAGAAGATGTACTCACCTATAGAGACCAGGTTTTGTGTGTAACACATGTGGATGCACATGTTGCTCAAAGAGACTGTACACCAGGATAGGTAAGGAAGTGAAACAAATATTGTACAAAGTCAGGTACACACTGTCATACAGTGTCTGCAAAAATAAACAGGGAACGTGATTAACAAAGTAGCAATAACATCACATCAAGAACTTCACTTCAGAAGGCTTATCGGCCACCAAGACTCAAAGATTATTTGTCAAACATTACCATAAAGAAAAACTCAAAGTACATTTTTTTTAATTAACCCTTGCAGTGGGACTAGCCCAGCAAGGGTTAAGTGCTCGTTTGTGTCTGGGTGCTAAAATAAAGATATACTCATTCGAAGCTCCGAGCCAGCCAGTTGTCACAGCGCTCCCTATAGCCAGTTTCCTCCCCCACCCTGCAGCATTGAACTCTTCCTCAGCGTCCTCACGTTTATACACTGTGTACAGACGTGATGATTTATGGGACCTTAGAGCTCTGCAGAGGGGGAGAGATGTTGGAAGTACCGATCTAAGATGTCGGCTTGGAGCTTCAGGTGAGTATAACAACAATGTTATTTTTGAGCCTGAGCACAAACGCACACTTAACCCCAGCAATGTGGTGGTAGCCTCACTGCAAGGGTTAATAAAAAAAATTCCTGGAGCTCTTCTTTAATTTATTTATCTTTAAAAATACATATCTACCACCAAGTATCAGAGGTGTGTTACATGTTCAAGTCTAGAGCAGATTCCTAGTCTTGTGCAAAAGAAAACTGGAGCATATTATCAGTATGGCTAGATTTTGCATTAGTACTATAATGCCTAAAATTATTTATATTTAAATTGCTTGCTGTCCTATATTGTAATTGCATTATTTCAAACACAGATTGGTAAATTAGCCCACAATCAATCATGTGTATATACCACGGAATATGGTTAGCTACCATGTCTAAGGCCTGCAGAAATGGGTTTAGATAACTTTATAGAGGGTATAATGTTTTCCGTCGGGTGGGACCGGATTCACAGACTTAGATAGGGAGTAAATTAGAATTGTCCAATTGTACTAATCAGAAAAGAAGTGCTTGCCTATGTAATAATGAAAATATGGCTGCACCTACTTGCATAGAAGTTCACATACTATACACAGAAAGCATGTCTTTAAAACTTTAAAAGTCAATTATAAATTATTTACACAAATATCTAAAATAAAATATTTTTTAAAATACATTTTAACTTAATACCACCCTAAAGGCTTTTTCTCTGGATACACCTTAATTTGGAATCATTGAGGCTTTTTTATATCAGGTTCAGAAGCTTTCCATCAATATTAGATATGAGGGCACATTAGTGGGGAGCAATGTTTCTTAAAGTAACATTAAAGGCAGGGCTCTTTTTTTCCCTAATGCATTCTGTGCATTAAGGTCAAAACCACCCAGTACCTTTTGTCTCTTCGCCGTACCCCCCACACTTGCTCGTCACCGCCGCTGGTCCTGAAACGATCCTCAGGTCCCTGTTTTTCTGTTCATGGGGGAGGATACTGATGGCAGAGGAGCCATAGGCTCTTTCTGCCATCAAACTGCTGGGTGGAGAGGAGGGCCTTGCCCTGCTGCAGGGCTGTGTGTGTCTATGGATGCACACAGCCATTGCAGGCACAAGCGAGCACGGGTGCCTCCATCGCAGCCGCTTAGCTGTAGAAGCACCCGTGCAGGGGGCGGGGGAGAGCACTGCAGGGACCCATTGGAAAATGAGTAAGAGAAACCTTTTTAAAGAAAAACAGCATTTTTATAGAAAGGTGGGCCTCCTAGTCGTAAAAAAAAACAAAAAAACCCTGAATCACTTTAATGCACAGCTGACTTAATGTTCAGTAGCACCAAGAAGAGTACTTACACCTGCCACTTTTATCTACTAGAGCAAACTTATATAAACAGGAGGCAGAGTTTGACAAAAAATAAAACACCTGATTATCTGTCCGTGCAGGTATGGAAACTTTTCATACATTTCTGTGAATGCAGACACTAGCTTTTAGATAAACGTTAGGACAATATAGGAGCTTCCATTGCCAACAAGTTTTTAAAGAAAGAGATCTTGGGCATGCAATCCTTTTGCTTGTTTAAATTTGAAGCGACTCACTGACCCAGAACAAATGTGCAGACCAGGTGTCTAACACTAGATAAGTCACTTGTCACATCTCTGACCTGATGAAGGGACCCTGCGTGGTCCCGAAACGTTGGATTATGCGATATGTGTGACGTTTAGTCCAAATAAATTGACTTTTTTTGAATTTCATTTACGGAGTGCGGGTAATTGCTATTGTTCATTGACTGTTGTACACGGCGCCATCCGTGATTGTCACTGCGAGCACCACTATTTTCACTTGGACCGGAAGCGATGTAAGGAGTGCAGGGGGACCTACTGCTTTCTCTAACACTAGATGAGCACATTCGTGTTCCAGGTCAGTGGCTAGGTAATAAAAGTTGGATAAAAACGACCAGAGTTTGCACCATCAAAAACAAATCAGAAATGGCAGCTCTCAAATTTCTGTAATGACAGTTTTTTCCCAAATCCCCATGTTTTGTACTACTGGTGGGAGATTTCTCTTTCATAGATGCAACCATGACAAAGTGCGAGAAATACAATACATAATTTTTGTTTTAAAGGGAAGGGACTTGAGAACTTCAGGAATATCTATAGTCTTAGCTCAAATAAAAATATGACAATATGAATATAACAAATCATGTGTGATATCAGTAACAAAAAGGAAATGCTACACTTACTTGCTGTGAAAATAAACAAAAGAACTGATACAAAAACTGTGGTGTGATAAAACACACATTCTGCAAGAGAAAATAAAACATTGAGATCAGTAAAAGTATGCATACCAAAATACCAAATATACACCCATGTTAACTATCTAGCAAACTGCACAACGGAGACCAGAGAAGAAACAATAGGCGTCTAAAAAGGTATCATACCTATTGTTTACTTCTTCAGGGCTGGTTCACACCATCTCCAGACCAGTGCATTTTTTACCTGCACCAAAAACACATACACAGTAATTCCAATGGTTTTAAATTAAGCAAGTTTACACCATTGTGTTCAGTTCCAGAGCTTTATATAAAAAAAATTAAAAAAAAAGTACAGCAGCATGCTTTTTATTCGCAATTGAATGCACAAAAATGCATGTAAACACACCAGAATGAACTGTAATGTGCTTAAACCCAAGCAAAACCAATAAAAAAAACCACACAGGAATACATCAAAAACACACATAAAAGCATATGCAGAAACACATCCATATCTGGCCTGGAGATGATGTGAACAAGTTCTTAATCTGGAACACAGTATTTACAGTAGATCTAAGTTAAACTTTCTAAAAAAAATGCAACAGGAAATAAAAAGTAAAAATGATATCATGCAGTTTACTGACAATTCTATTGGGTATTATCATAGATCAAATTTAAGTTAATGGATTGAACCACATTCACCACCAATCTGCAAGCAATAACCCCCTAAAAATGCTTGGTAGTAACATGGAACTGCTGAGGGTGGAGAAAGTAAATGGGATTTTTGTACTCACCGTAAAACCCTTTTCTTGGAGTCTATCGAGGGACACAGGTCTTAACCCTTTGGGTTTAGGATTATTCTCTTGGTACTACCTTGCTACAAGACTTAGACATGCAGGCAGTAGAAGGGTTATCCTGGTCTGGGCTACAGTTTTATTTGTTTGCCAGTGTTAAATCCTTCTGTCGACAGTGTAAACCAAAAGTTAAAACCCTCTGTGTCCCTCAATGGAACCCCCAAAACATTTTTTACAGGGAGTACAAAGATCATATTTTTCTGCCTCCCCATTGAGGGAAACAGGAAGCTTTTAACCTTTAACATGCCCAAAACCAGTCCAACTGAGGGGTGGACAACACAGCAAACAAATCGCTAAAAGGCTCAAGAAACAAATAACAGAAAAACTGGGGACTGCCAGCAGCTGAAAGAGCTACCTAAAGCACCTTACGCCCAAAGCTGCCCAAAACCTCCAGCAGGTAGAACTTAGAGAATGTGTAAAAAGACCAGGCAACCTTGCAAATCTGATATACAGTTGCCTGATAGCTAAAAGCCATAAGAAGCACTCACAGAGTGTGTCATGACAAGAAAGGATTGGAAACTAATCCTTGAGACCACAAGCTTTGATTCTGGTCTGCCTGAGCCACCTAAAGATCATGGAACGAGAAGCCAGCTTATCCTTACAGAACCCAACTGGGATGACAAAAATTAAATCAGCAAATATAAAGGAGGATGGCAAATTGGTGCTTGGGACAGAAGATCCTGAAAATCTGGCAGAGCCCACAGAACCTCTTCCAGGAGCCTTACCAAGATGGTGTACCAAATGCACCTGGGCTAGTCTGGACCAACAGGAATACCCTTCATCTCAATCCTGTGACGCTGACGAGGAAGATGTTGCAGGGTAGGAAAGGCATAGATCATGGTGTACTGATCCCACAAAGCCATCAAAAGCATCCGCTGCTTTCACATCCTTGCACCTGGAGACATAAAACTCCAGTTTGTTGTTGAACCCGGAGGCTAGAGGTCCACATTTGGTGTCCCCACATGTGACAGAGATCCTGGTACACCTTGGGTGTAGGGACCACTACCCCCAGGTCTAGGTGCTGCCAGCTGAGTAAATTTGCCTGCCAAATGTCTATGCCTAGAATGTAGATTGCTGACCAAGCTAGAACGTGACATTTTGCCCAGAACAGGATCCAATCTACTTTTCTTGCTGCAGTGAGACTTCTGGATCCTCCCTGATGACTGATATACATTACTGCTGTGGAATTGTCCCGACTGAACCCAGATCAGATAACCCTCCAGTAGGATGATCCAACAGCGCACAGATAGCTGAATTTTGCAAATTTCCAGGATGCTGCTCTGGAGATAAGCGTTGAGGAAGTCCTGAGTGAAACTGGGCAAATGGAACTATGTCAAAAGAGGTTATCATCAGACTTGGGTATATCATGCAAAAGTGGACGGTCAAAAAGATCTTGGACTGGAAAATTAAACCCGAGACCAGAGCATCAGAACAGAACTGAAAGACGCAACAGACTGATCATCTAGTTTTAGAGTGGTACATTCTGCATCAGTAAGAGCTGGAATGGAGCGACTCAGAATCACAGTCTTGAAGCCCAAGAGGCTGTTATTAGAATGTGAGCTGAGGAAACCTGGTACAGCGCGACTGTTTGCTCGATGTCTATAATCAGACATGTTGTGATTATGTGGTGGCAAGGCACCGTACAGGCTCAGTGTAAGAAGCAAGGCTTCATGAACTCATAAAACCTAGACAACTGATAGCAGGTGAGGGTAGGATCAGTCGCAAAGTCAATGTCGGTGGGCAACAGGAATGAATTGAAGTTTTAAGTTCCACGTGGCTCTGAGCAAGCAGGAGCAGCTGTGTGGAGGCTGTTCCTCAGTACTGAATGGAAAGTAAGAGAGCACGGAGCTCCAGCGACATTCCATCCAGCTAATTAAGTCAGCTCTCAGCCAGACAGCGTTAACCCCTTCCCCTGATCAGTAGGAACTGAGAATAATGGACAAGAAAATTCCCACTTGCAATTTTTCTAATGTGTCATTGGGATCAAGTGTGGAGGGGTTTACCAAAGAATCAATGGTGAATCACTGATAATAGTGATCGCGGGAAAAACAAAGAATGTCCTGTATATAAATCAGGCGTGCATCTAATTGCCAGGAAAGAGGAGTAGATGTCGCACTGTATGCCCCCTTAGCAGGTGATTTAACCGGATTCAGCTTTTGTTCAAAACCATGCAGTAAAACGTTTATTGATCATTTTGGCTTTTAATTAATAGGATACAGGAACATACTCAGTATGAGTATCAGAGAGAGTAAACATGTTATTATAAACTAAAAAGAATAAGCTGATTAGCAACACTAAATAAGTTGTTTGGCTTTACTATGTTACAACAGCTGTCTAGACAAAAAAAGAAAGATAAATCTTTCATCAACTTACCTTATAAAAAAAGTATTGTACAAGAGTAGCTACTCTAATATAGTAGTAGTGACCATGCACCAAAAGCAGTTTTGAGAGGAATTTAAACCTCGCAATTGCATAGTCGCTGTTCCTTACAGCTTGTCTGCCCTCTTTTCCCATGATTCCTGAAAAGCCAGAAGGTACACAGATTACACCCAAATATTGGTCACGGTATATTGAGAACAGTGGGGCATGCATTAACAATTATCACTAAACTACATTCATAAATGAAAATGTAGATAAGAAACCTAAAGGCTAAACTGCTCTTGCCGCACCACAAAGCCCATAAGCTTACCTATGCCTACATGGGCTTCTTGGATCATGCTGACATCGTTAGCTCCATCTCCAATGGCCAGGGTGATGGGTTTTTCTGGAGAGATTTTTATTAACCTGACCACCTGCAATTAATAATAAGCATGAGATTGCTTTGATTAAAAGAATCTCTTTAGAAGTCATAAGAACTCTAGATTTTCTCAATTTCCTGTCTTCATACCTTTGCTTTCTGTAATGGTGCCATTCGACAGCATAAAACGGCAGAGCAGCTTTTGCAGACTTCCATGAATAGCTTTTCATGTTCCCTGAGTGCAAGAGAGAGGCTGGCACCATCCACAACCAGCCCGTGTTGGATCACATGGTCATCTTTTAACCTAAGTTAAGCAAAAGCTCGAAGTAAGACCACAAACTATGGCAAAGATAAGAATATATTTGACAACTAAAAAAATAAAGGTTTGTAGGTTTGTTAAACTAATAGTAATAATAAAAATGTGAACCAGCCAGGGATTGGGAGCATGGTGGATTTTTAAAATGTTTTACTACTCTTGCTTGGCATCATATACCTAAATCCTTTTGTATGCCTGTGTCTGATTTATATCTCAGCAGCCGTTTTCTAGATATGCTGACCACATGCTCCCTGATAAACAGAGTGCCATTAGACAGAAACATTTACTAAACCCTGTATAAAAAAAAAAAAAACATGATCATATGAAACACGGAGAATGTAAAATATTAAAGTTAAATCAAAGTTACTTTGAATCACAGTAATTCAATAAGCACTCACTGAAAAGACTTCTTATACAATACAATTTCCAATCAAATATCTAAAGCCAAACCTTTTTTTAAAGGAGAATTATGGGGAGAGTGAAATACACTCATCCCATAATTAGAGCCGACGTCTGACATTGCAGCTGTCACACGTTGGCTCTATTGTTCAAGAACTGAGCGATCACATACCGCTGATCACTCAGTTCCCAATCATCTCCCTGCAGAGAGCGGCGACTGCGTTGGCTGGAAGGACAGAGAGCGGAGGTGCGGGCACAACTGGATCTAGGGAGACGGAGACAGAGACAGCTATCAATCAGGTAGCGGAGTGGATCCCGACAATATAGTCAGGATCATTCCCGGCCACAGCGCCACTCTGCACTTTCAGCATATAGCAGGCAATAGCTGAGTTTTGGGTCTTAAGAGGACATTAGTAAATGTCCTCCTGTGACCCTGAAGAAAACTATGGCAAAAAAAAGGTTGGGCCATAGTTCCCTTAAGTCTTGGACAGAGCAGGGTATTATTAAAACCCCTTTCTGAAATTGGGGAAATGTCCCTTTTCTTTCTAACCAGGAGAGACAACAGGAAGCAGATGAAAATCGTCGTGTCAACGGCACATTTATCACCACTGGAAGATATACCTTCCGTTCCTGTCCTGCTGACAACTGCAACATTTTGGATTTACCATCATTTTGTGGTTCTGTAGCAAAGGTCACCAAGACAAATAAAGAGAATTAATCAAAACTGGAGTACACAATCTGGAGCAGTTGCCCATAGTAACCAATCAGCTTATTTCTTTCATTTTCAAAGTCTAAATGAACAAATGAAAAGATAAGCTGATTGGTTGTCATTGGCTACTGTTCCAGATTCTGTCTACTCCAGTTTTGATACATTTTCCCCATAGAGTAGGTGAATCTCCTCAGCAAGAGCACAGATGACTAAAACAACTTTTTACAGTTTTAAAAAACAATTTCAGATATACGTTAAGGTCTCATTGACACCAGCATTGACAATCCTGCGAATATATGCATTAATAGGACATTTCCAAATGTTACTGGTATAAATCACACTATTCATGCGTTCAGTTAAGACGCACTTAAAGAAAATAGAATTCTGTGCATCCAGGGCAGATTTGAAACTCTGAACGTGTCTAAACACATGTAAATGCACACAACGACAAATACATTCAAATTCAGGAGAACTTGATGTGGAAAGCAAAAAGTTAAACTTCTCAGATAGTTTCCCCTCTGTTGTAATAGCCTAAATGAAGGAAGCTAGTGTGAATGCAGCCTTAGAGTTGCATTAAACCAATGGTTCTCAACCTGTAAAACCTCAGGTAAAACCCACATTTGTACTTGGTCATTAAATCGCGACCTAAGTTGGACCCCACTGGAACGCATGGCATTGCTGAACCGTATGTTCCGTTGCAAGCAATCAAACTGTGGGCGGCAGGGGTGTTTGGGATGCAATTCAAATGAATGGTGATGCACCTCCTGCACCAGAACGAACAGTAGTTGGGATTGTGTGGTAGTTTGCTAAAAGAATTTAAAAAATACCCATACATACACGCATGCAAACATGCGTCGGGGGCGCATATGTGCAAAAAAGACGATTGCGCCCAATAAGCCGCACATGTGCAAAAAAGGCGATTGCGCCCATCACGCCGCACGTTACATATCGCTGCGAACGTCGGAGTGAGAGCAATAAGTCTAGGGCCATCAATTACTGATGGCACTAAACTGATGAGCGGTAATGAGCGGTAAAAGCTTTTAAAGTGTCGCCTATGGCCAATTTTGGGTATGGTAGTTTTCTGCGATGTCGCGGGTGCCCGCAATTTTAAAGCTTGACATGTTTGATGTCTATTTAACCGACGTGACCCCGACTTTTATATTTTACCAAAAAACTGGGTAATAATAAATGTTTCCTAACATAGTTAAAAAAAAATTCCTAATTATAGTAAAAAATAAAACCCCAGTGGTGATTAAATACCACCAAAAGAAAGCTCAGTACAGCGTTGCATGACGGAATAAATGTCAAAGTACTGCAGCGCTGAATACTGAAAAATGGCCTGGCCAGGAAGGGGGTCTAAACACCTGGTCTTGAAGTGGTTAAACACTGACAGATTGTAGAAAGAGGTCACTAGCACACCGTTTTTGTGATAAAGAAAATAAAGTGTTCATTTATTAGGTTGTCCTAGTGACATGGTTTCGTAATAAATGGACACTTCATTTCTTTATCACAAAAACAGTGTGCTGGTGACATCCATCGACAATTGCTACTACAGGCAGTGCAGACCGCAATCACTGCAAGCACCCCCCACATCATTTGGAATTGTGATCGGTAAAGAGTGCGACAAGATTCTTATACGTTAAAACACTGATACACACACAACCACAGACATAATCTCTCACACGCATGCACACTCCCAAGAAAATGTTAGGGGTTCAGTGTGGGCTGCTGTGTTGTGACGGAGCTCCATCCATATGTGCATTGCTTATAAAGCTCCCTCGCGCTGCCTGTAGAAGTGCCGGGAGCCAGAATGTGATGTCACTCCGGTCACCCAAGGGAGCTGTAAGCAATGCACTTCTAGATAGAGCCCTCTCGCAGCCATAACCCCAGCCCACCCCAAACTGACACTTGGTGCCAGGCAGCATATTTTGAATGTCTGCTTGGCACCAGAACTGACAGTACAGCGCTATGAGGGAGGCTAAGGAGCCTCTCAACTAGTGCAGTGGAAGGCTTGCAGCGACCCACTGACGATGGGGTCACGACCCACCAGTTGAGAACCACGGCATTAGACTCTGTAGAACAAAAGATGTTACTTTTTTTTTTTAAAAGATACTTAATTATTCCATTCTTATTTTCTAATTTGACTATAAACACATAGGGGTGTATTTATAAAACAGTTGCAGTGCAAACAGCTATGCAAAAGTCTGAGTTTGCACATTATGGCTACTAGATGGAGCTGAGGAGCAAAGGAAATTCCTCTGTTCCTTGGCTCCATCGATTGGCCATAATGTGCTGTGATCCTAAAACTTACAGGGTTATTCACAAAAGGGTGAAGAAGTTGAAGACAGGAGACGTGAACAATTCTAGGACAAAATAGCTGGTTAGGAAAAATTCTCCAATTCAGCTCACCTTCCAGTTCAGCTATGTTGTCCTAGATTGTTCACTTCTCCTGCCTTCTCCAGACTCTTCACCCTTTTGTGAATAACCCGGTTAGACTTTTGCAGACTTTTGCTCTGAAAGGTTACAAATACACCCAAAACTGTTGATTCCCAAATAAAAAAAAGCAAGAATTCCCCCCCTTTGAGCCAGAATGTAGGCTAAATTCACTCTGGTATTAAAAAAGGCCAATATTTTCCCGGGAGAAGACAAGGAACAAAGATACCAATCTGAAAACCCTTCGAATACAAATCGGATAAACCTATAACTACATAAGCCTCAATCTCATATCACATTTGTTAACTTACCGCCTGCCAAGCTGTCGTAGCTGCTCTGCACAGTCCTGGTCTGACTTTTGCTGTACAAGCTCAAGAATATTCATTGTTCTATGGAAATGTCCACATGATAAGCTTACACTAACAGCCGTTTCATGTTTGTCTCCTGTTAGCACCCACACTTTTATGCCTGCCAGTCGAAGAGCTTCAATCGTTTCCTGGACTTTGTCCTGGAGCCTGAAAAAACAACAGGCAGCTAATAAAAAAAACGAATTAATTGTAAGAAGGCTGTTAAATATGAACCATGATCACAAAAAAACTAAACACAATATATATGACAATATAAGAAAAGAAGAATCTGCACACGACATAGAAAAAAACATTTCAGCTGGCCAGGTCAGTACGGCTTACATCAATAGCTTCACCCTTCTGCTAGTCTGCTATCATGACTGGTGACATGGGTAAACAGTTACTATCTCCTCAGTTTATGAATGGAGAGGAGGTGCCCTGCACAGATCACCTCCTCTCCATTGATAACTGGGTAAATAGTAAATATATACTCCTCGGTTAGCGAATGAACAGGAAGCCTCAGGTAAAGAAATAAAACGCTTGCTCCCCTCCTCACACAGGTGCTACATTATGCACATATGGTGCAGCGCATTGTTAAAACACATCATAGTGCTTGATTTTTAGTTTTTTTCACTTTTTAAAACATTAATTCAACTGCGTGCCTTGTAATATGCCATGTTGCAATAAAATTTATGCCTGCATCATTTTATTACAACACCCACAAACAGCGCACAAACAGCACTGCAGATCAGGCGTTACCACAACATAGATGTTTAGCATAAATTCCTTATTTACAGTTTTGCATATTGTCCTTTTTTACCATTTTGCAAAAGGAGCAATTTCAAATTGATAAACATTTGTTATTATGAACTCATAAATTTAGTAGGAATCTAGTAAATTATGGGAGGGATTTTTGTGTGCGCTGATAATGATTTTAGTGTATTTTTATTGAAAATATTAATTTGATAAACATTTGTGCAACTGTCGAGGGACCTAAAAAAAATCAGTAGCACCATCTCTTTATTCTACCGGTCCTGTGCTTTCAGAAAATGTATGATTCGGGGGGTCTTTTACAAAGTCTAAAAGCTGCAGTTGAAAATGTAAAAAAATAAATTTAAAAAAAAAGGTGAAAAATTGCAAAAATGGTCTGGCCAGCTGAGGTCAAAAGTGGAATGCAGGGTCTGGCAGCGAAAGGGTTAAAGGGAACATATAGACATTTAAAATTGATAACCCTGATGTAAATAATGCTGTCTGTCGGTAATAATGCTTCAAAAAACTTCAGACATGTAAAATAATTCTCCTGGATGTAAACAATGTCAGGCTGTTTTAATGTTCCTACAGTACAGGATCTCCGATCTGTTCCCTGTGTCCTTCAATGAACGGGAGAGAAAAAGGAATGACAAGTGCACCACAGAGCTGCGGACAGCCGGCCAGTGCAAATTCATGACAGGCTAGCTAAAGAAGTGGCTGTGTGGGTATGCACGTAAATCCCACTATTTACATGCGTACCGGGACTTCCGCATTGCATAAAGAAGTTATGGGGAGGTACAAACGGTATGTATGTAAATGGGGTAGTTCGGAGAGGTTCGTATTAGGGATGTCCCGATATCGATGCTAGCATCGGAATCGGGCCCGTTACAAGGCATTTTGACAAGTGGTTGGTTATAGATTCATGCGGTTACCATGTTTTTCTAGTTTGACTAATCTGGATGTGGGGACGCACTGGGGTCCCAGCGTGCATTTTTGGTTGCGTCCCTGCACCTTATAAGGAGGAGTAGGCTACCTCCTGGTACACCTGCATGCAATCTATCAACTGCATTAATATGCTCATACTTGGAGACTCATATAGATAGAGTTAGGACCACACTTTGCAGAGGTGCCTTGGCGCAGCAGTGTGGCTTCTACATATTTTTGCCCAAAAGTTTGTGCAACTAAAACCTCTGTTTTTAACGCATACTGTTGACAGGGCAATTTGTTTGGTTGCAGGCTAGCTGGCAGGGGCGCTGGGGATTTTTTTTGTTTTGTAGCATTTTGACATGTACTTGTCAAAATGCCCCGATACATAGCACCGAAGTTTGCGCTATGGGTTTTTTTTTTTAACTCCGGTGGGCGGCGCTCCAGGTGGGGTCCTAATTTAGGTGGCCGGAGACTATATGGTTATTTTATTTCTTTCCCTTGCAGAGTTTGTTTTGCTGCATTTTATGTGTTGCAATCCACGGAGCTCTCAAACACAAGACAATGCATCACATCTTGTTAAATATCATTTTGATTTTATTACTTCTGCAATTGCCTAGACCAGGGGTCAAAATTTCAAGTCCTGAGCTGCTATCCAGGCCTTAAGAGTTACTCGCCACCAGTTGCCCACCTAACCCATACCCCTAAACACACCCTCTTAAATAATCCTATCGATGAGACTGTTACATGTTTTATGCAGAAGTTACAAGAATATTACAACTTTAACAATATTACAATAAAGCTCCCTGCCCCCCACACATAAAATAATAACCCCCCCCCTTATTAGTAAGGTCTGCAGACCTTACTAATCACTTTGTTTTCGACCCGGAGCTCAGTGAAGATCTCCGGCCGAAAGGAAGGGAGACAGACCAGCAGGAGTAGCTGCTCCCACGAGTCAGGTACGTGGTCTGAGACCGCAAGCCTGACAGGAATTTCCACTCGCCTGCACTGCATTTCCACTCGCCAAATGCGAGTGGAAATTTTGAGCCCTGGCCTAGACTATTATAGTTGTAATCAAGAAGGTTGTGATCTCACTTGTCTTCAACACCAGTTGCTCCCAGTATCTCCAGGTCTTTTTCAATGAGATTAAATACATCAGCCACATGCTGCTCCCTCTGATGTATTGCTCTACGGGCTTGTTGAAGCTGCTGATCAATCTCCTGGTATTCGTCTGCTGTGAATCTCCTGTAGGCCAAGCATAGCGTCCGCAGTCCTTTCTGGTTCAGCAAAAAGAAAAACATTAAAAGTAGCCAAATGGGTACTTGGTTATACAATAACAAGCAGCATCATTACACCCATTGTAACTGATTCAGGGAATACTAAAGTGAATCTGACCTGGCTTTAAAGCTGAACTTCAGACAGACACAAAAGATAGAATTAAGGCAGCTCTGTAATCAACATTTGGCCTAGTATTAAACACCTACAGTCCCTTACAACAGAGCTCGGAGAGGGGGAAGCAAGGAGCTAACCAGGTGTGCTGCAGTGCAAGGAACATGGTGAAAGAAGGAGACGGTAGAGGGAAAATGTTGAGCTCACCAGTCTCTGCTTTTTTTTCTTCACTGTCCAGTCATAGGCTGAAAAGGGAGGGGGGGCAAGGCCTGTAGAGGTTAAAGTGACATTAAAGTCAAAAAAATGTTGTCCCTCACCCCCATGTTAATGTTAGCACTTACCTTAAATTATGTCTCTTATTCCGATCATCTTCTTCCTCTTCTTTCCTGATGTTTTCATCTGTCCCTCCAGCAGTGTGGCGGCTCTCCGATCCAGCGCTGACTGCTCTGTCTCTCCGATCCCGCGGTGTCTGCATGCAGGTGCACGCGTCCATACACTTACCTTGCGTCTCTGCTCGTCTCCCGGCCGAGAATCCGAACTGCGCATGCGTCCGCCCCAAGATGCTTTGCGGCCGCCCGAACAGTTTCGTTTTCTCGGGCGTGAGCGCGCAAAGAAAAAAGGGTAAGTTTAAACCGGTGTTTTAGCGTTACAGGCCTACAATGTAAAACAACATATTCGCTTGAAAAACAATGTACCGCTTTTGGTACCTAAAATCCTGAATAATCATACCGCCAGGGAGGTTAATGAACTGCAAAAAAGAAATCAAGTCTCATGCCCTGTCAGACAAGGCTGTGCTGTGTGGTTTTACAGTGTAAATCTCAGGCCTGGAAGGATAGAAATACAAATACTTTGGCAGTTAAAACAGCTACCTAATATGTATTTCATTTGCGTATTTATCTGTTTGTCTGAAGTTCAGCTTTAAAAACTCTTTCAAGGCAGCAAAAGTGCTGAAGTGCTGGCATCTTGTGATGCTTACAAGTAGCGGTGTTGTTTTCTGATCATTTTCTGTTTACCCTCCAGGGAGCTTTTTGTAACCTAGAACCAGACAACCCACGTATGCTTGCCTTATGCCTATGTTGAGAGTTTAACTATAAAAAAAAAACCTTTCCAATATGTAACTATGTCTAATATTAGAAAGCATCTTACAAACAGTGATTCTTCTACCACAGAGGACAATTATTGAACTTAGCTTTATGTTATTAACCACCTCACATTAGGCCATTGTAATTAAACAGCCGGACTGTGGCTCCTTGGATGCGCGTGGGCGTTTTAAAACATCCGCGCACAAGTATGAAATCTGCTTGAATTGTAAACAGTCAGCAATGGCTGTTTACATACAAGTTTTCTGGCGGCTGTAGAGCCACCCCATCGTTTGTATTATGCATGTGGGTGTACGGGGCCAACCCACCCCCTGCCGCCGTCAATCCCGAGCTCAGCTGTGCCCGGTGCAGGCCTGGGACCGGCACAGGGGCTCTGTCACCGGAGATCAGAGGGAGGAGATCATCACACAATCTCCCTCTGATCTCCCCTCCAGTCTTTATCTCTGAATGCAGGAGTGATGTGTATTACATCACTTGCGCATTCAGCTGTCATTCTTCAGCTACAGAAGCCGGAGAGAAGCTGGTGATGCAGATCTCTGCTTCCTCAGCTTCTTTGGGGGTCCCTAGGTGACATTAGGGGTCTTAGGAGACCCCTGATGTCTCCATCAAGGGGACCCGTTACTGTATTTGATATTGCATAGGGGGCTTCTTAGTCCCCTATGTGATAACCATAAAGTTAATTGAGGGGGGAAAAAAGTTTAAAAAAAAATTAGTTTAAAAAAAACAAAAAACATTAAGTCACATATAAAAAAAAATAAAAAGATTTTTGAAAGTCCCCCACAAACATGCGTCAGGTGCGCCTATGTGCAAAGATGACGATTGCGCCGCACATGTTACATATCACCGAGAACATCGGAGCATGTGCAAGAATTCTAGGGCCCTCAGTCACTGAAAACACAAAACAAAACAAAACTGATGAGCGAAATAATCTTTTAAAGAGAGTCACCTAAGGCCAATTTTGGGTATGGTTGTTTTATGCAATTTTGCGGGCATGCACAATTTTAAAGCTTGACATGTTTAGTGTCTATTTACCCGATGTGACCCCGTCTTTTATATTTTACCACAAATGTCTCTATCTGTCTCCAAAAAGTGGTATAAAATTCATTTCAGTACAGCGTTGTTTGGCAGAATAAATGTCAGTCAAAGTACCACCACGCTGAAAAATGGCCTGGGCAGGAAGAGGGTGTAAACACCCCGGTCAGCAAGTGGTTAATGTAGCTACAGACAGCTTTGTAAAGTTCATTCATATAGTATGCATTTTAAATTTCGCTAAACCAAAAACAGAACTTACCCTAGCAAACTCATCTACATGCAGCCTTGTTCTCTCCATCTCTCCTCTTCTGACATTAGGAAGAATAGCAGACTCTGCCCCTTTGGTAAAGAGAATCTTGTCCCCTAGAAAAGTATTGATAGATTACACAAATGTGAACACATCAATAGTGTGAAAGTGTAACTGAAGCCAAAACTTTTATTTTAGTTTTTCAATAGAATAGAGAGGGATTAGAACACCTGTTCCTGTGGTTTTTATTGCTGTCTGCGTCCCTGTTAGGAAGATTCACCCCCTCTAGTTGTCCTAGTGACCGATATTGGTGAAAGAAAATGCCAAATTTTGAGTTGTCATCAGAACAGGAATAGACGGGAAATCTTCCAATGGGGTATGGTGACCCTGCTTACTTCCAGGGATTTCCCTCGCTTTGGAAGAATGTCCTCTCATTTCCTTTTGAGGCTATCAGACAGGAAGTGAAGGGAAATCTCACATATGGCAGAAACAGGTGACACCCGGGTTTATAACCCTCCATTACTGTAGCAAAAACTTGAGTTCTACTTTAACATGCAAGTCTGCAACCTTACCAGAAGGACTCTGTACAATGACACTCATTCTTCGACGATCTGCATCAAACTCCAGAACATGAAGAAGCTGGTACCTTGATAAAAATAAAGACCAGTTACACAGCTGTCTGACATCATGAATATACATCATGTTATGATTTACAGTACAGTCTTTTTTACTATACTTCTTAGGCCTGGTTCACACCTAGGCGATTGCATTGTTGCGCAGTTACCGTGTAGTTCCTTCTGCAAAGAGGTGCCTATGGGACCAAAACCGTGCTACAACTGCCCGAAAATAGCTGCTGCAACTTTTTGCGAGACAGACGATTTCGCCTGCGCGCTGCAACAGTGTGCACAGCCTCCATTGAGTTTGTTTTGCGCAATAAGGATCTACAGGCAACTAAAGGATCTTCTGCTTTATGATAATTCCATGCAGGTGACATACTTCAATCTACATGTATCTATAAGCTAAACCTTTTGTTTTGGTTTTCTTTCATTTAGCTTTGGATAGAGTGAAGGAGGATTGGAACGGTCAGGTTTAACTGTCGTCAAAGGCTCAGTTGGAGATATTCCTTCACTTTCTATCCAGTAAAAATATTTGCAGCTGACCTCCTTTATTTGTAGATGTTCTGTTAATAGAGGCACATGTTCCTTGGCAACATCTCTCCAATGAGCCGCACAAAACCGAGGTCAATAAAAATCCAACGTTACTGTTGTAAATTCCATGCAAAGTTCAAAATACAAGGGATACACCACCATAGTATCTCTCTCATTCCAACGCCCCTCACGCGTTCCACCACCTGGGCTTAATCATCGAGGTTGTATTCTTATTCCTTGGCTACTTAAAAGAACCTGCAGCTCCTAGATTGTAGTGATCAGCTTCACCTCATCCTATAGATATTGAGAACTGTATGCCAGGTTCTTGGCTTAGCCAGAAGCTGTTCATTTCTTTTTGTCAAAAAGTAACTTGCTTTAATGATTACAGTTACCTTTCAAGTTTTCCAAGAATTTTGATTTCCATTATGTCACCACTGATTCCAGAAAAAGCAACACCCACCCTACAAAAAAAATAAAAATGCAGAAAAATGACATTCACACGCAATTATGGAACAATGCCTGAACACATATACAATGTTGGTTAATACGCTTTAATAGACTGGTATTGCATTACACGTGTATTTTAACATGTCTGCATGAAGGATTATCCGGGCAGAGAAATAAAATTGTGAATATTTAAGACATTCTATGCAGCTAATTAACCAGAAGAAATATCTCACTGTGCTTTTTTATAACTTTCCCTAGAGCAGGGATCTCAAACTCTATTCACTCGGGGGGCCACTTTCCAAATGTTATACTTCACACACAGAGATATGCACACATAGAAACACACACACAAGCTGAAATATGAACAACCCCCCACAACCAGAATTACAAAAACTAATTTACACATGGTGCCCAGTCGTCTGGCCCACGTTACACCTGGCAGCTCACCAAACTGCTTCCGAGGTTGCTCAGTGAGAGGGGACTATCTCCATATATGGTGGAACTGTCCGATAGCCCAAAGGCTCTGGTCACAGGTGAACACGATACTTGGTATCCTCACCAAACAATGCATACACCTGACCCCGGGGGAAGCATTACTGAACGTTAGATCACCTGACATATCCAAAAACGAATTTCGACTCCTCACCCATGTCCTTACGGCGGCAAAACAGGTCATAGCACACACCTGGCTCTCGAATACCCTGAGTATCGCAGCAGTTAAAAACAGGATCCACTGGACTATGATCAACGAGAAGCTAACTGCAAAACTACTCGACAGCTTACCCAAATTCAATAGGGTATGGGAGCCATGGGTGGCAAATTTCTTCCCACAGAACTTTGATCGAACTTTGCTAGACACATGACCCTGAAACCCACCCCCCGATAGTGCATACTACACGTCAAGCGATACTCCCGGGCGCCACTGTCCTCCACTTCCCTACACCCCACCCCCTACCTCCCCATCTTATCTCCTCCCCCTCTACTCGCCTCCTTACAACTGTCCTCCCCTTCGCTAGGACTGTATAACAGCCCTCATCCCATTATCTTTTGTCTACCTTTCCATACTTTCCTGCTAAAACCTTTCCAAAACCTTGGTTACAGCCAGTCTGCTCGGCTAGACTGACAAGTTCATCCATCAGGTGGCGGTCATCAGCAAACGACCTCACATGCTATGTACATGCTGAAATGGACATAGATAATGTACTGTGCTACTGTATCAAACACCATGTGCTGTTACTACTTGATGTCTGTAATACGTGCACTACCACCTGTAACGGATGTGCAAGTTTTGTGTTTTCTACCTTTATATGCCAATAAAAACCTATTGAACAAAAAAAAAAAAAAATAATAATTTACACATAAGGCCCCATTCACACCTATATTTCAGGTGCGATTAGGGAGTTCTGCGTCAGGAACTTGCGTTTTCCTGCAGCAGGAAATGTTCTGATAATGATATTGTTGCTTAGACAAAAAAAAACATAAAAAGCAAACAGTGCAGAAATATCACTGTACAGGTCAAATTCTCTCACCTTTTCGATGCTTCTACAAGTGCCTTTTCATCTGGTGAAGATGCATAGTATTCCATTTGGGTGGATATACCATTGGAGAAGCGCAGACCGTCAACACAGCTATCTGACTGGTTATGACTTATTTGTACCGTGTGGCAAAGGGAGACTGCCTTGAAGAATAGTTCTTCTTCAACACTCTAATAAAATATAGAGAGATAAAAAATAAATACTTTTAGGGCCCAGTCCCACTACAACATTGCGGTAATGCGTGGCAATATACATTGGTGAAATGTGGTGCTCTGCAGCCAGCGCATTTTACCACAAACCAGATCAGTGCACTGCCGTGTAATGTGCTGAAAGGCACATCCGTCAGCAAGGTACATTGAGATGCCATCTAAAATGAATGGCACCGCACCAACATATGTACTGAAATGTGCACTGCATTAAAGCACAATGTAGCACACACATTACTGCATCGTCATTAGAAAAAACAAAACTAAGAAGCTCTTATTTCCAAGTCTACCTACTCAAATGCTGTTACTGTAAAAGGGGATTTCACCTAAAGGGAAATTCTCTAATTCAATATTGCCCTTAATACTGTAACATGAGGACCTACACCTCAAACAACCCTCTCTGACCAGGAGACAGTCCCTAGTGAGTGAGCATGGGCTGCCCTCAGTGTCCCAGTCAAATTGTTCCCCTACAGAGGCTAAAATCAAGTCAAACTCAGGTATTTATACTAGTTGCATTCAAAATACATCAAATTATTAATTTTTTAATAAAAAGTTCCTGAAGACAGGAGAACATTAGATTCAAATAAAAACAGGCTTAGCTTTATGGGTGACATGTACTCCACTGGACAGCTGGAAGCTGCAATAGGTAATGCTCACTCATAGGAATGAATGGGGTCACAGCATTTCAGTAAGGCCATCAACCGGAGAACTTTTTCAGTGCAAAGCCTGTACAACATGGCACAGTGAACATAACTGGAATGGGGAGTAATTGTCCTTTAAGATATAAAATGAGAAAAACCTCACTAGGTATAAAGAAAGTTATTTATGATTAGGATGAATGTATCCCAGTATGACTCCAACAGACAGGGTAGGAATATATTTCTCAGATATTCTTTTAACTTCCTTCCTAAATACTATGCTAACAAACTGTAGGCTAACATGAGTATCTTCCCAGTAAAGTATGATCTAGAGCTCAACCTTTTTGCAGCCAGGCACCCTTTATAAGTAAGCAAAAACATGTGGTCCCTCCAAAATCCATATCAGACCCTTATACATACACCCTCCTAAAGGAGACTGTACAGCTCACATCACATGTTACAATCTAACTGATTGGCTGCAAATAGGTTGGCTTATTTAAGACATTATATTGCATTGTTTAGGTAAATCCAAAGCTCACCATATACACTGACTGTACATGACGTGATGTGAGCTTTAGACTAATGGATATTCGGTCATGCATGATAAAGAAAAATATCTTACCAAGCTTGTAGAGGCTCCATCAGGAAAATCCAAGGTTACACCTTCTGGCACAAGTTTTCCGTTGATCTCTTGATATTTAATTCCATTTACTGAGCACTCCCTAAACTGCATCTCATTTTCTGTCAAAGTTCCTGTTTTGTCTGTAAACACATATTCAACCTAAACAAATCAAAACAAAATATTACAACACAAAAAAAGTGACATTTTGTAATAAACAATTAGCAGGTGAAAATGTATTAGTTCTTCTTCCTGGTTTGCCTAGGTACTGGTTAAGTTGGCCATTCCACCACTCTACAGGACATGGCACCATTCTACAGCACAGCCTGTGACAATACTTCATGTTAGGACAGAAAACCTTTGCTCCAGGACAGATGGCTCAGATTAAAGTGTGAAAATAGATGACAAAAAAAGAAAAGGAAACTCAAATTGAACAAATGCATATATTATTACAACCTGAATCCTTGTCTGAGTAACATCATCAATAAATAGTGGCACAGTCCAAACGCTGTCTTCAGCCACCGAGAACAATATAATTACATTTAATTCATTCTGACAGCCCTCTGGGACTAGACAGTGACAGGCTTGGGATAGGGAAGGAAAAAAAATATATTATGAGCTGCTTCACAGAAAGGCCAGTTGATTCATGGACTAGCCCAATAACAGATAGCAGAAAATCAATGAAAAGATGAATTCCATCATGAGCTACCAGAAAAATGTGCAGCATTGGAGCCAGACACACTACTAAAAACAGGCAGATTGTAGCAAAGCAGTGATGCAGCAAGCACTGACTGAAATGATTTTGCATACACCATTATAAGAATAAAACTAGCTTTTGCTACAATATTCAGCTTCAATCCAGAGATTTCCTCCTTATTACATTTCTCTGTTAAATATTAGGTCTGTATAAATCTGTTAAAATCTGTTCAACACATTCTTTTCCAATTCATTTTTCTACTAGCAACTAGATGCATTGACTGAAGTGGATGTGACACATTATGATATACGACTATGCAGCAACCCACCATGGTCACTGAACTGATGTGTGCATCTGTGTGTCTCTATACCATTAGGAAAATGATCACAGAATGACATCTGTAAACTTATAGAAATGCTTTGGTGAATCCTCTGATAGAACATGCGACCATGACACTAAGTGATGAGTAATGTGAATTGGAAACTGAAATACTGAATAGGTGATTGAAAGTAAAGGTGTTAGTCACTTTAAAAAATGACTGACAATATTGCCATACACTATAGATTTTAAGGCCTGGTTCACACCTAGGCGTATTGCATATGCGCGTCTGTCGCACGTTTTTTTACCGCGATTCGCGGTAAAAAAATTGCGCGACAACCGCGTGTTTCCGAGGGCTACTTGGCTGTATCCCAATGGAAACGCGCAACAAAAACGGCCCAAAGTAGTACATGTACCTTTTCAGGCGTTCTTGAGGCATACAGCATCCTAAGCTATCTAGTGATGATTTCTTATTTATTGCTAGCTCTGAATTTCAGGAAGTCAGTGAGGAAAGCCTACATATGTAAAAAGGATAAGTATTGTAACCTTTTACTACAATCGTAATACCCTAGATGTGCCTTCATAATTTCCGTCTCATTTAAGAGTATACAAACATGAAGCTTATTTAACAATGGATATAGCCTCTATAATGTATATAGTTTTTCATATAAAAATTGTTACATTACCTGTCCCAGCTCTTCATTCAGATCAGAAGTGTTCACCTGCGCTCTCTGATTACTTTCTTCATGGTAAAGATCAAGGTCCCAACCAATGAAAAAGGAGCCAAGGAATTTCTGCATCTCCACCGTCACATACAGTGAAATAGGGATGATAAAATTATAAAGAACCAGGAATGCCAGGAAATCAGAAATGAATTTCAAAATCTGGGGAATAAAAGGAAATTATATCAGTGAGATAGGGCAAAATAAACACCACATTCTTGTAATTCAAGAAGAAAAATGAACTATAATTATATACCGTATTTTGCGGTCCATAAGACGCACCGGACCATAGGACGCAGGGAGGTCCGGCGCGCCTTATGGAGCACTCGACAGACTGTAGCTTCTGACACAGCTTCTATGACAGAAGCTGTGACAGAAGCTGCAGTTAGTGACCGCTGAGACAGGTGGCGCTGTGATTACAGCGCCACGGTCTCAGTGATCACACAGAGCAGACGAAGAAAGTCCGTTCTTCGTCTGCTCTATGGTGATCTCGATCGTCGCCGCTGCTCGGTTTTAATACGAGTGATCTCATTAGATCACTCGTATTGAACGAGCAGTGGCTCCTGCTGCTGAACTTGATCGCCGCCGCCGCTGCTCGGCTTTAATACGAGTGATCTCATTAGATCACTCGTATTAAACGAGCAGTGGCTCCTACTACTCGCCCGGCGCCCGAAACTGCATGTCTCGGACGTCGGGATTCGCTCCATAAGACGCAGGCACATTTTCCCCCTCCTTTTGGGGGGAAAAAATCTGTGACAGAAGCTGCAGTTAGTGACCGCTGAGACAGGTGGCGCTGTGATTACAGCGCCACGGTCTCAGTGATCACACAGAGCAGACGAAGAAAGTCCGTTCTTCGTCTGCTCTATGGTGATCTCGATCGTCGCCGCTGCTCGGTTTTAATACGAGTGATCTCATTAGATCACTCGTATTGAACGAGCAGTGGCTCCTGCTGCTGAACTTGATCGCCGCCGCCGCTGCTCGGCTTTAATACGAGTGATCTCATTAGATCACTCGTATTAAACGAGCAGTGGCTCCTACTACTCGCCCGGCGCCCGAAACTGCATGTCTCGGACGTCGGGATTCGCTCCATAAGACGCAGGCACATTTTCCCCCTCCTTTTGGGGGGAAAAAAGTGCGTCTTATGGAGCGAAAAATACGGTGTATATATATATACATATACATATATACATATATATACACACACACACACATACTACAAGCCTAGATCAACTAAATGTGGAATGACCATTTTCCTCAAAGGTTAGGGCATTAAAGTGGAAGACATCAATGTTTTTATAGTATAACCTAGCAGAGACCCATTTTTAGCCAATGTCTATAAAAAGGTTTCCGCAAAGAAATCTTCACCCGGTCTGCTTTGCTAAGAGTTCTTTTTAAAAGGGCCAGTCCGATGGGGGGCTTCTTCCCATATCTACACTTGCCACTCACAGCTTTTATGAATCACTTTATGTATAGATGGAGATATAAGCGTGTAGTGAGGTTAAAAATCGCTTGTAATGAGGTTAAAAATACTCAAATACTTTTTCTCAAATACTCGCTGGTACCAATTACGGTACCTTTTTTAGTGTCATGTGACATTTTTCTAAAACAATACAGACTGATAATTTTAGGACAGTGGTGGAGCAACAGGGACCAGTCACAGCTGCATCCTATCTACAGTCTATAACTGGCACATAAAGCTCTAATATGAGTACCATATTTTGCGCTCCATAACGCGCACCTGACCATAAGACGCGTCTAGGGAGGGTAGGGTTCTGTGCGCCTTATACGGTAATTCATCTATACATTTAGCGGTTTGCCAGGAGCTAAGCATAAAGCCAACCTAAGTCATGGTTTACACCTAGCGTTTTGTAGCGCCTTTTCTGCCCTAAGAACAGTAAAAAAAATCTGTCGCTTGTAGCAAAACACCCGTCGCTGGAAAAAGTGAGCTTTTTGGCAGATTAAGTGCTTCTTGGTCCCATATATTTTAAAAGAAACACAAAAAATGTGTTTTGCTGTGTTTTTGCATTTTAAGCGCATTTGCATCAATGAATTACATCAATCTCCTCGCAAAAACTAGCAACTTGATTTATGCGCATAAAAGGCTTGCAAAAACATGCAAAAACTGTGCGAACACATGCAGTAAAAAGGAGCGTAGAAATGAGAAAAAATACTGTTGCCTAGGTGTGAATCCAGCCTAATGGGGTGACTGCAAATCCTGGTTCTGAAAAACTGTCTGCAGTCCACTTTTTAGGGCTTGATCACACCAAATCTGGACCAGATGTGGATGAGTTTCTGCATATGCAGTGCGTTCTGGCACTTTTTTTTTCTCTTTAGCCTAAAATGGGCTTTCAGGTGTAGTCCAGTGCGTTTGCATGCGTTTTGGTGCGTTCCAGAGCAGAAAATATAGTGCCTGCTGACGTTTTTTCCACATGCACTGGAACTGAACTCTGTAGTGTAAACTAGAGCCCAAAATGCCATTGGAATACATTGGATGCATTTTTAAAGTGCTCTCAAAGTGCTCTGCTCCGCACTTGGTGTGAACAATCCCTTAAGTAACTCATCGTGTGCACTGTGCATGACATGCATGCATAACAGGATAGGCTACATTATGCTTTCTAGATTATTTCTTTTTAAAGAGCAAGAGAAGTCAATACAAAGATCAGGATACAAAACATTTTCCATAAACACATTAACACATAGTATCAACAGAAAAGAGGACCCAAAATCACCATCAATCCAAAGATTAGAGCCAGCAAGGTATCCAGATAACAAGGAGATAAGGTCTCTCAAGCTCACTTTAAAAAAAAAAAAATTATAATGCTTAAGACAAAGTGAGATCCAGAAGAAAATAAGGAAACAAACCCAAGAAAAGTGATGGAGGAGAAGGGCAAAGAGAGCAGAACTGGAAAAACTGAGTGAAAGTATAGTAATAAGAGACTAGAAAAAAAGAAGCAGAAAAAACAAAAAAGGGGGCCACTCAAACACACGGTGACCGTGAGAGACAAAACAGGGTGTGGGAGCTGACTGACACAAAAGACAGAGCCCAGGAGGGTCCTATTCCCCTCCATGCAACACTTCTGCACCCGCAAACCACCACAGGATCTCCGTCGCCGCTGACAATGTCACACACCAAACCTCTTGGTGAGTAAAGAATTCACTCCTTTATACATACAATTGAGGAAACCCTGAAACTTTGCCATTGTTTTTTCCTTCTACATTGATCGGGATTCCGCACAAGGACCAGGACCACACCTTGGGACGTCTTTCCAGCCCCAAAACGTGATCCCACGACCACATCAACAGAAGTGTCCCGTCACCACACCGCTCATCACATGCAAGCGCTCAAAATCCCCTCTTCACCACCACACATATACGCATCCTCATTCACTCATCTTTCCCCATCCACACACCCCGCACCAGACAGTCAAGCTGCTGCCCTCCCTTTTACCTGTTCAGTCTAAATGTGCCCATACACCTTACGATAATCATATGCGATCAACTTTTCGTACGACAATCGTAACGTGTGAATAGAGTGCCCGACCGATAGTACTGTACAATCGTACGACTTTTGACGGTCAAGCATGTTTGAAATCTTTGGTCAATCGTACGATGTTCGCATGGTTGGTGGCGTTTCCGGCCGTCAAAAGTCGTATGATTAACACTGTGCATGCGCAAACTAAAATAATTGCGGCCAATTACCGCAAGTCGTCCAGGTGTTTTTTTTTTTAACTACCGCTGGTTGAACCTAGCGATAATCGGGGCAGGATGGTTCGATCATCGGACGAAAAGTTTTGTCCGATAATCGTAAGGTGTATGGGCACCTTTACAGTTGGACACCCCGGTCCAACCTATATAGGAGCAGCACACGGGTCGCCATCAACTACACCACCCTGGGAGTGCGCTAATCAATCAGTCTCCTTAGAACTTCCCATTCCCCCTCCATGCATCCAGAACCACCAATGTGCTTTTATTATTCGATTATCTTAGTACACTCTGCAGATGAGTTAAGCTAGATAAAGAGACATCATGCAAATTCTCAGGCACTGCTATAACCATGTCACTGTTGTAAACAGTGGGAAAATATGGACACACCAGTGACTATACTTTACCATCTGTTATTCTGGAGAAAGTAATATGCTTATGTAGTTAGTGTAATAAAACATGTGCATACAAAGTGCTTTCGTATTTCTCACCATCAGTATGTGCCGACAGTGTTAGAGGAAGTACTGAAAATGATGTAACCATTTAATGAGTGTTGCACACAGCAATCAACCATTTAATGTGTTGCACACAGCAATCAGGTAGCAGAACAGGAAAAAGCATAAGTAACAATGCTGTGACATGGTTATGTTGGTGAAATGACTGATTTAGTATTTTTGGGACTATACAAATTAATAAACACAACCATTAAATAGACACCTGATTTGTAAAATGATGATATGGAATATTCATGGAGCTGGGGATCAGAGGAGTTTTTGGAAACACTGACACCCTAGATTTGTAGTCTTGTTTTATTCTGATAGTTTTCTATCTAGAACATTTCATGAGAACAGGAATACAAGGTTCAGACACAAGCATTCAATCCTGCATTTGCCTAAGCAACTCAAACAGGAGGCAGCTGCAATCCCTGAGCAAAGTGTATCTGACGCATAAAGCTGCACAGACCAAATGGGTACAAAGGTCAAATGAGGTTGGCTCGTAATTGCACTTCACTGACAAGTCTCTGTTATTGCTTCTTCTGGCTGCACACAATTGCAAACACACATCCAAATCAAGTTGATTAGGACTGGTAATTATTTTGTGGGCACACACAGGGATTTCCGAATAATGCAGCCTAAGGCTTCATTCACACTGGCACTCTTACATTTAGCCTGTCCTGGATGCAAAGAATGCTACGATCACACAACAAAGCTAAACTGAATGCAGCTAAACGCAAAGCCTGAATTACACCATTGCAAATCAATTACATGCATTTAGAAATGTGCCCTAAGGCTGGGTTCACACCTGGGTGTTTTTCAGCGCTGATCGAAGCGCTGGAAAACGCTCAGCAAGTGAAATCCCATAATTTCCTATGGGCATGGTTCCCACCTGGGCGCCCTACGCCCAAACAAGTACAGGAGCTTCTTTGGGGCATATTTCCGCACGTATCCATTGGTATTCACGAGTGTGGCTCGGGGTTAACAAAGCGATAACCCCGAGCCACACTCGGGAATGCAGCGTAGGCCTTACCTTGTCCGCGATCCCCGCTGTGTTCTCCGGCCGCTGCCGTCTTCCGTCCCTTGCGAGCGTCCGCGTTGCAGGGGGCGGAACCGGCGGGAAGTTTGAAAGTTTAAAAAAAAAAACCGAAAAAAAGATGGCAAAAATAAAAACATACCGCCAGGGAGGTATAAAAAATACAGTCGAACGCGCGTTTCACTGAACTGAAAAAACACGCCTATAGTACGCCCAGGTGTGAACCCAGCCTAAAGGCATATAAATGCCGGTTGGACACTGCAAGAGTGAATGAGGCCTACTTTTCTACTTTGTGTGTGGGCAGTCAGGCATGCAACATTTCTGTTTTCTAACAACACCACATAACAGTTCCATTAAGCAGATGCTGAAAAAGCACCCTACTGCTCACCTTGCACTGTATTATACCCTGCATCTGTATGTGAAATGCTATGTAAACTTTCTAGATGCGCAATCATTTTAGCAGCCATTTACAGATGAGATGACATTTGTACAAACCTTACTGCTATTCCTGTCGTGTTCAGTTTTTTGGTTGTACCATGGCTCGTCCCATTTGTCTTCAGCTTGCCAGGCGTACTTCAAGATTGTGCTTAGAATAGCCTCGAACAGAAGGATGATCAAATATACCAGCAAGAAACTGTTCATGGACCTGCACATAGACAACAGATAAGATACTAAAAGAATGTGTCCACCATTTCCCAAATAAAGGATTCTTATGGGGCAAACCCCACTAGGCAATAACAGCTGTACATGTGTTTTCTAAATATCCTGTGTTTAGATAATTAACTGAGCTCGTAATGCAAAATATACATTTCATTACCACTGCTGACCTAGTCTAGTATGAATGTACCGTTTTAACACAACTGGGACCTGCAAATTCAGTGCCAAAAGTATGCAAAGTGAGTTACAGCAGAATGGCCATTAAAATATGAGGGTGATTTTTTTATATCAAATGTTTTCATAATTAGGGCTCATTCACACAAGCATGAACAATGCCACCTACAGTGTCTAGTTTTGTATGCATCTGCACGCAGCAGATGGGTACATTTAGGCAGCTGTCTCTGGCAGCGTAAGGTTGCACTACTTTCAGCAGCATTATAGAAAAGCTATGTCCAGGACAGTATATTACATGGAATGCTTGTAAATGCTTGTGCTAACATTTACAAGTGTACATGGACCCTATTGGTCACTGTTCACAATATGTAGCCAGAGACGCCTGCGCCAATGAGTAAGCATTCATTCAGAATTGCCCATGGTCATTCTGTGCATCTGCAACATGAATGATTCAGTCAGGGGCAACATCTCAATATCAACAGTATGTAGTCGGTTACACATTGTTGATATCACCATGTAGGCCCTGAGCAGCGGTGACAACCATTAGAGTCCACTTGCTGTACATATGTACACGCAGCACAAAAATTACATGTGCACAGACAACATTTTAATCAGGATCTTGCTGCCAGCAAAATTCTGCATTAAAGTCGTACGCCACTCAGAATGAGCCCTTACGGAAAATACATTTAACAGTTGGCTGTTAAAACACAGTGCTAGTATATGTCAGAATCCATATCCAACTATGTCCAGATAGACAAAGACTCCAAAGACAGTCAAAGTTGCAATAGAGAGGTTTAAAAAAAAAAAAGAAAAGAAACTAATCTTAGAATAGGTGAGCCAAGGACCAAATTGCAATCCATTAGGGAAACCTTGGCCAGACCTAAAACGATTTTGCCAAGGAGAGTGGGGAAAAAAAAATGTAGGATGTAGAGTGCTGTCAGCAGCAACTGCAGTAAAAGGGGATTATGAGGAGTATTGAGCACTGATCATTTAACTTTGTGTCACACTAAAAACTTATCCTGTGGGTTTATATACATTTATATATGCTTGCCTTAGAGAGGAACTTGACTCACAGCTTTAAAATAACACACCTTTAGAAATGTTTAGTAATGACACTTCTACATAATTGCCGGCTTTGTATTCTTTGAATACCTTGTTTTTCTTTTCCTCCCCATTCTTCTCACAGTGGCCATTTTTTTTTACTAAGGGCAGATTATTCCATCTCCCTTTACTTCCTGGAAGTCTGGCACAAAGTTACAAGTGACCATGCACATCATCTCAGGGGAGGAAAATGCCTTTCCCTGAGATCTCGTGAGATTACAAATGAGATTTCTGCCCTGCTGATATAACCTTCCCAGGATGCAATGCTTGGCACAGATTTCATCACTAATGTCTAAGTGGACCCAAAAGAAACAGCAATTGTAAGTAAAAGAAAAATATATGTTTGTTTAACCCCTTCATGACAGCTAGTTTTCAGGTTCTGTTCATAAATGACTGACACATTTTTTACATTTTTGCTGTGTGGTTCTTCCACGTCAGTAATATACTTTCTTACTAAATGTACCCACACATATTATATATTGTTTTTTAGTTTTTCTTGTCAGTTTATATCAAGCAATCACTATGACAGCTTGATAAATTAACTTTTTTATTTTATTTTTGGCTATTAGGCTGATCCAAACTTAGGAACAGCTAATAATAACCTTAGAGACTGATCCTGACTTTAGTCAGATTCAGATCTCACTAAAAGCTCTTTGATCGTGCCTAGATGATTAGAAATGATACATTTCACTCAAAATAGATACTTTGTATCCTTTCAGTAAAATGTATCTAAACATCGTGCTCTCGAGCTGTCAAAACAAATAGCAGAGAGGTGAGGTGAGTCACTGCTGCCTCTCTGCTATTTTGAGCTGTCAAATACGGGATCGCAAATTGCGGTCCTCTATTTGCATGTAACGGCTTCATTCTTTCATTAATGAAAGGAAGAAGCTTTTACAAAAAGCTTAATTATTTCATTAATTAATGCCTCAATACTGAGACATTAATGAATGACTGTTAAATGCTGAGAATCAGCAAATACCGGCATTACAAAGCCTGATATAACTCGTCACGTACAGTGTACGTGGCCAGTCATATAGGCACAAAGTGACAAGACGTACACTGTACGTCTCCCGTCACGAAGGGGTTAACTAATGAATGTAAGATGATTTCCTATCAGCATGCAGAGCTGCATGCTGATGTGATTTTTAGTAAAAGGTCCACTTTAAAGCATATATAAACTCAAGAGCAAAAAGTTTATATATTGCAGCTTACGAGTTTGTAGATGTGGTGGCTGTATTATTTATTTATTTTTTCCCCGGTATTTGTACCTGGTGATCCTGTCAGTATCTAGGGTGATAAAGCCAATGCATTGTACTGTATCTATGGAGGAGCAGCATGGTCACCCTAGGACAGGACTACAGAACACCTTCCCTCGCTTTTATAACATAGGGTGGAAGTGTGCTAAAGTCCTCAGAAGAGAATGGGAAGGCTGATAACACTGTTTGAGATTTAAATTCAGTGCACAAGAAATTACAAAGACACAGGTGACATTTCTCCTGCCTCCCATAATGCAATGTGTGGTGCCAACATCCAATAGTCAGGCCTCGGCAATATCAGGTGGGGGCATGGAGGTCAAACCTATCACTAGCCAAAGATATACTCAATTTTTTTTCTTATTTTTACACTTGAAAATGAAGATATATTGACAACGTACTTCTCCACAGCAGAGCGCTTCTGTGATTTACACTTATAATTTAAGGCCATTTTTGCCTCCATTCCCGTGTACACAGCAACTCCTACAAAACAGAAGCAAAAGAAAGCATAATTAGGAATCACAAAACATCTGTAGCAGTACTTTCACAGGGTTTTTACAACAGTTGCAAATGCTTAGATCCAGACACAGCCACAAATAGAAAAGAACTAAAGTATACTAAAAATGGCCTGGATGGGAAGGGGGTTTAACACCGCGGATGTCAACTGGTTAAAGATACTAAAGACAACTAATAAAATAGGTTCACCTACCTTTATAGAATCAGCCACATTTCAGTACAAACCATGTTCTAAACTACATTGTGCTGACTGGAGCTGCCCATACACCTTACAATTATCTGCAGATTTTCTGTGGTCAGATGGAAAAGGTGTAACAGATTGGCCCAGGTGGAGATGACTCCATCCACAGTTAAGTGTAGATGGAGGAATCTGTTGCACCTTTTCCATCTGACCACAGAAAATCTTCTACACTTAGGGCTGTCATGTGTCCATTTTACATGAATCCAGTGCTTAACGGAATTCTTTAGGTGGGTTTAGGAGAACAAAGAAAAAACCAGGTCCCTCTATATTTTTATAAACTTATATAGTCTTTCTTGTCCTCAGGACTCTTGTATCTCCTTTAGTTGTGTTCTTAGATGATGCAGTCTAACCGTTCTTAAAGTGAGTTCACATACACTTTAAAGTGAACCTGTGCAGGTTTATTGTAATCTCCCTTCTCCAGTAGCACAAACTCGTCTTATGTTCACTTCCCTGATCTGTTCAGCTGTCAGTGGAAGCAGTAGATGTTGCCCTTTGTCAGAGTCACTTAAATGGCAGCTTACATAAGGCTATAGACGCTCTCCATGTGACAGCGCTGGTGCTGGGTGATTGGTCCAGCGCTGTCACATGGAGTAAGTCGCATGCTATTCCATATCTGGAAGTACAGCTCCTGCTGACTGAACAGACTGGAGGAGAAATGAAGGAAATGTAAGCATGTTCAGCTGTGGAAAGGATCATCACAGCAAATATGTCGCTCTGCACGACACACAAAACATGTCAATGGCACAGTGCCAGTCATTTAATGAAGATCTGAAAATAAATACTCGCAACAATGATTCTTGCAAGCTAGAGAAAACAAAAACATCCACACACAATAAAGAGCGGAAACTAGTCAAAGTTAGCGAGTTAGAAGTAAAAACATTAAAAAAATAGTAAATGTACCAAAAATTTCCTTTGTGTTTTTCAACCGTGCTCCCCGAAGTAGAAGGTTTTCTTGTCCAAGAGGTCTGAAGTAAACAAGAAAACAGAAATAACACATTTTGTAGAAGAGGCGCACTTTTGTTTTCTTATTGAAAAATGCAAAATCCTCAAAAATGAATCCTCCTAGCAGATCTCATGAGAAGTAACTACAAACCACTGAAATAGGAATTGCTTACTGTAATTTCCTCTCGATATGATCTACTTTCATTACAAGAACTATTCACTTCTACACATAGTCACTTCAAGGGTTAATCTAGCAAAAACGAAACTGTTTTACCTTACAATATCTTCTGAATGTTGTTGTATGTTCATCCTTCCAAGAAACCTAAGGGAAACATTATTTATAGAATTAAAACAAGCAAAGAATCCAGGTTTGGTGCAATGTATGAACTGCCTAGCTACAATTAATAATACAAAGCATAAATATCATATTTTAGAAGTAAAGCATAAATGTATCATGGTAAAAAAAACAACAAATGGGCTTTTGTAAGAAATCACAAAGAGACAATTTATTACGCCGCAGTCAGGTCATACCACTGCTTTACAAAACAAATACAGCACATTATGTAGCACAGCAATGTAGTTTAGAAATGTGCTTTGTGCTCCGCTGGGTTTAGAGTACCTAAAAGCCCGCAGAAATGATAATCGTCTGAATGGATGTAAAAAATAGAAAAAGCCAGGAGAGCACGGACATGCATTAAGCAGAGAGAATTCCAAGGGGCAATGCAGGATGCACACCGCAGATTGCATTTTATGAATAGGCCATAAAATACAGGCTGCGGTCTGCGTAACCAAGCAGAGTATAACAGACAGCGATATCAGTTCTCCATTATAAATTGGCCCCAAAGTGTACTAACAAGAACATTTATGGCAACCAATTTAAGTCCAACTGTCATTTACACAGATCTGATCATGAAAAAAAGGTCTGTAGTGCGCAAAAAGAGATTCATATTATTCCTTTGGTTACATAAGCTCCAAACCTCCTCTGCATCTCACACTGTAGCTGGTGTTGACTTTGAAGGAACAGAGACTGTTGCTATGAAAGTGAATGTTCATCTAGCTTGGGGAATATGGTGAAACTTTATTCACTTCAAATCATCAAATTATGTGCAAGTCAAAATCTTGGTTTTTATTTTTCCAAGCACATGACTTGCTATTCTTGTCCGGATTTGCCCGTGACATCTGGTGAAGTCTATGAGGGGTCCGGTACCACCTTGTTAGGATTTTGTATCCCAGTTCCTGGTATCTATTGCAGATGGATGACTTCAGGGAGTGGCGCAACAGCTGGGCACCCTCCTCCTGTGAGAACTGTATCCCCAGCTTCCCCTCCCAGCGCTCAAGGAATCAGAGCGGGGTCTCCAGGTCTGCAGCCAACACTAGTTGGTAGCATAGAGAGAGTGTTTTAGTTATGGGTTCCTTGTCAGAGCAGATTTGCTCAAATAGTGTAGGCTGTTTCGTGTAGGAGGTAGGTAGAGGAAGTGAGGAGAGAAAGTGTGACAGTTGGTGCAGGCGCCATGTGTCGAGACTTTCAGAATCTGGGTCCTCAGGGGAATTTCTACGTATTTGCCAGTTAGGACCCTGGAGGAAGTGAAGTGCTCGAAATTTTCCCCCTGCCAGAAGGCGGCGAAACGGGCCGGCCTCCAGACCAGGGGGGAAATCCGGAGCCCCCAAGATCGGCCGCATAGGGGATGGATCAGGGGATATTTGTTTGCGTATGAAGGCCCATCGGGCTGCCCTCCAAGTGGGGCCTATAGTCGGGTGTGTTCTAATTAATCGGGGTAGGCGTACCTCGTACCACGGTAGACCAGGTAGGGAGATCTTGGTCACAGATTGTTCCACCTGTATCCAGGGCTTGGCGGCGCTGTGACAGCACCAATCAATGACCCTGGCCAAGTGTGAGGCTATGTAATAAAAATGGAAGTCGGGAAGGGCTAGCCCCCCCTTGGCTTTGGGGCGTCTCAGAGTCGCCAGTTTGATTCGTGGGGCCTTGCCGGCCCATATAAAGTTGGTCACCATTGCTTGCAGGGAGCGGAAAAAGGAGCGTGGAACCATGATCGGGAGGGCTTGGAAAGGATATAGGAACCGCGGAAGGACATTTTGTTTGATGACATTACAGCGGCCTGTCCAGGAAAATGTCGAGCGTGCCCATCCTTGAATGTCTGTTTTGACCTTTTGTAGTAGTGGGGGGAAATTGAGGCTGTAAGTGTCCGACAGGTTCCGTGGAAGCTTTATCCCTAGATATTGGAGTGCTGTAGAGGACCACTGATAAGGAAAGTTCTGTTGTAGGCGCGCTAGTAATTGAGGGGGAATAGTCAAATTTAGAGCCTCCGACTTCTGGGTGTTTATATGGTAGTTCGATAGCTCGCCGTATCGCTGAAGGGCCTGGAGTAGATTAGGTATGGACGTGTCCGGTGTCGAAATGAAGAACAGGAGGTCATCCGCATATGCTGCTATTTTATGGGCCTGTCCCCCCACCTCAATGCCATGGATATCAGGATGTGCTCTAATGGTGCGGAGCAGGGGTTCAAGGGTCAGGATAAAAATGAGGGGTGAGAGTGGGCAGCCCTGTCTGGTGCCATTAGATATGGTGAACGCTGACGAGAGTGTACCGTTAACGCAGACCCTGGCTGTCGGGTGGGAATACAATTCCAGAGCTAGCTAGCATGCTCTGACCCATGCCGATGTGTTCCAACGTGAGACATAGAAAAGACCAGTCGACCCTGTCGAAAGCCTTCTCGGCGTCCGTGGACAAAATAAGGCTATGACTTGCTATTCAACATGAACATAGCTTCACCGCATTTCCAAAGAAAAGTAACTATTCACTTTGGAAAGCAAGTATGAGGGAGAATCAAAAAGTAAAAGGACCAAATACATTTAACAGCTTTAATAGAATTAACTGTGAGCACTTGAACATATGACTTTTCCACATGGTCCCCATGCAAGATGATGCAATTGTTGTATAGTTCAATTAGCTTCTGTATTCCAGCAAAGAAGAAGCTTTTCGGCTGATGCAGCCGGGTGTGCGCCACTACCTTTCTACCCACTCAAACCTTTTATTGATCATGATGCTATGACCATACTGAGCCAATATGCGATGGTAAGTTTTCACTGGTTTCACTTCATCTTCGTTGTTCTTCAATGGTGCAATCTAGCAATGAAGCGTCCATGTTTCTGTCCACATGACTGCCACTGAACTGAAGCCCAAAAGCTGTGCTGCGCATGGTTGAACTATCCAACAGACTATGTAAATATGCTGCATTGTGCAAGTTTGTCTCTGTTCCAGTTACCGCGTATCTTATAAATTGCCTTTACTTTTTGATTCTCTTTATATTTCTTACATTATATTTAATTACAGAGGAATAAAAATATGGACTGCACACCATGGCAGGCGCAGCAAAAGTTTAAAAAAATGCAGACAAGGACAACAAAATGCAGATTCCAATGTCCTTGTGTAAAGGGCAGGATTGTGTTTTCACTCTACAAAGAATTCTAATGAGACAGCACAGAACGGAGCTTATTCATACATGATGGCCAGCACAATTGTTAAGAATTGGACCGTCTTGTACCATCTGTGCCTTCAGTTTACAGTTAACCCGCAGTGAACATACATCCACAGAGTTTCTTAGGCTTGTTTGACCTGGGATGTATACAGCACACGCAATATCAAACGTGTGCAGGTATATGGATTCATGCCAACTACATTTACACTGTGGTGCTTGAAATTTCCCTTACCTGTAAAGGTCCGCCTCTGGCTGTTGACATTCTATGACTGCGATTAAGGAATCCAGGTTTGTAACAGACTGTAATACTGCCGTTTCCGGAACAGCCTTGAAGGTCTGAAACAGATATAAAGCATTTATGGTAAAAATGTGTTCACTTCTGTGTCGTTAAAGCAGGGGAGCGGCTGAGAACATTCTGATTCAAGTAGTAAAATATGTCACCAGCACACTGTGGTTACTACTTGAATCTGAAGCGGCGCCATCCGCAGTCACTACAGCACCCACTGCAAGGGACATACCAGTAAGGAGTGCGGTAGGATTCTCCTGAGAACACCCCGAGGCTCAAGGGCTGCTCAAAATCTAGAAGCCCCACCAAAGCCATAGCTATGTTATGTGTAGGCTGCTGCAGTTGACTGTCTCCTTCAAATGCTAGCTGCCTGGTTGTAAAGCTGATCCATTGGTTCAATACTTTGGTTACCATTGACCAGCAACAAGAGAAGCCAGAATTCTTTTTTTATCTATATACTTAGGTTAATGACTCGCACATGACAGACAGTCAGCTAGTGGTAAGCAAAGGAAACCTACTGTAAGTGTTTCTGTCACCACAGTTTTCCTTTACGAGCACCAGCAGCTGAAGGACCATAGGGTGCCCATAACTGCTACAAACTAGAGATGCACCGAAATTTCCACCAACAATGGTACTTTCAGCAAAATGCTAAAAGTACAATTTTTCGGCCGAAATTGCGGTGCCTCTCTCTTTTCTCTCCTCTCCGCTGCTCTGTGTCCCCCCGACACAGCACAGCGTCCAGCGGGGGGGAGAGAAACGTTCAAGCGGCCGAGCGGGGAGGGTCTGTTTCATAAGGGAAATATCAGGTGTCTGTTTAGACCCCGATATTTCCCCAGAGCCCCAACAGTAAAGTTAAAAAATTAAAATATTTATTAAAAAGGAGAATTATGAGGCGAGTGCTTTTCACTTTCATGAAAACTGTTTCATGAGACTGTCACAGGTCGGCTCAGTAGATCGGGAAGTGAGCGAACACATACCGGCGTTCGCTCACTTCTTGATCCTGTCACTGCAGAGCGCCGTGACAGGGGAGTGACTGGATTCTCCACTCCCCTGTCCGATCTTCCAGCGCTGACGGGCGGAACGGACGGGGAGGGGGCGGGTACAGCTGGCTGTGCCTCTAGATAGGCAGAGCCATCTGTCACTAACGCAGCTGGGCGGATCCAGACATAATTGTCGGGATCAGCTTCAGCTGCGGCGTCCTAGTATACCGCGAGCTGCAGTATGCGGTATACTGAGCTTACGGTGACGGGAGGACGCTAGTTTGTGTCCTCTCGTTACCCTTTGGAGAACTATGGGGAAAAGCCCTAACCCCATAGTTCTCCTTTAAAAAAATAAATACATAAAAATTATATATAAAAAATTTAAAAAAAGTTTGGAAAAAAAAAAAATTGTAATAAATATTTTTTAAAACAGGTTAGGAAAAATGTTTTTTTTCGGTTTTGGCTTCAAAAATATATTATTTTGGTGCACCTCTACAACAAAGCTATTTAGAGTAAAAAATAAAATAATTTTATTAAAGGCTATTAACCATGCTGCAAAGCATTTCAATAACACAAACGCTACACACACCAATATTTTCTGCGCAAGACAAGTTTAATTATTAAGTAGTCCTTTTCTTCTCACTTGTTAAACAAAAGCAATAATCCACATATACTATGGCACTCTTGCAAAAATATTCTGTTTTATAAACTCAGCTATACCACCAGGTAACCAGATTCATGAATTACTAAAAGATATAAATGAAGGCTACTCATACTACATTTCTTATTCCACAACTGTGTCAAATTCCCAATGTAGGCTAAACAAAAAACCCATATGGAGCACTCTGTTTTCTATGTTTTAGACCAGCTTCACATCTATGAGTTGCACTAAGGCATGTTTTACCATGTAGTAACACAATGCATAGCAACACATGCCACTCTATGCGGTTCATTCTGACCAACACAGAATCACAGTGGTGCTGACAGACCTGCGCCACAGTGGACAACAAATACTGTGACGGACTGAACCATCACTGGGGCTGCTGGAGGAGCCTGAGGGCTAGCCTCCTTCCTAGACTATGGACCAATCCCTATTTGCCCTGTTTTGAGTCCTCATTTGCATGGCCAAGAGGACCTAGGTGAGGACTGGAGGATACTTTGCAGTTGACCAATAGGAAGGTGGTCGGTGCGTTAATCCAATAAACGAGATTCCTGTTTGAACTTACATACAGCCCGCCTGGTGTTTGTTCTGAGCTATCACCACTGAATACGAACGGCACATAGCTGTAGTTCGAATCCCAAATTATCGGATGTCCGAAATATCAGACGCTGCAGTCTAAAATCTAAGGAGTGCCGGGAGAGTGGAACCGAGCGAGCAAGGGGCTCGTTAGAAATACCATGTCTTAATCATTTTCCATGCTGGCTGTGGTGACTAGAATGCTTTTTTTTTTGTAACGATGCAAAGACAGGAGACTATGTATGAGCAACACAAGCCTCCTGCCCGCAACCCCCCCCCTACCCTTCGTAGCTGCAGGCAAATCATGCTGGGACTCCAGCTCACAACTACCATGTTGTCTATACCAGCACTATTAGAGTGGGGCAATGATGTAGCAGGGGACACCAATCACATACTTTGAGATTTGTCTCTCCATCCAGACTTGCAGTCGTCACATGGCATGAGCCATCCGATCTGTCTGAAGATAGCAGCACCAGATCAGCAGGAAAGGTCTCATCTTTGGCTACTCTAACAATATCACCTACCTAAAAGAAAAAAGAAAAAAGAAAAAACAAAAATGATAACAAGCGTACACAATGAAGGTAAAACTTGTGTCCCTGTGTCCCATTACACAGAGATCCACATACCCTGATGTTTTTTGATCTAGTCTTAACAAGGCCTCCACTACGAACAACATAAACCGGAGCTCCATTAACTTCATTGTCTGCTTTGTGTCGCAGCCAGTCTTCATAGCCCTGAAAATGCAGCAGAAGCAAAAGATATGTGAAGGCTTTGTCAAAACAAGCTACTATGCATTTTTCTCTGAGTGCTCATGTGGTTTCTAGGATGAGTGATATAGGAAGCCAAGAACATGACACAAGACCAATCATCGTGTAAGAAGATGCCTTGAACTACCTCGTTTAGAAAATGCAGCAGTCTTAGGTTCTTTGTCTTTCCTTAAGAGAGCATCTTTTGCATCTGTCTTAGGCCAAGTAAAGACAAAAATAAATTCTATCATTTAATCTGGTTTTCTACTTTATCTGTAGGGTTTCTCTAATCTGATACAAAAAATAACAAAACCGTGCTAAGAAGCGCTTCTCATTTGTCAGTGCGGTCAGGTGACCACGCTGACCAACAAGTGCTCAAAAAAACTCAAAATTGTGCATGGCTGCACTGGACGGCAGTATGGGGTGCAGATAGTACACTTGTAGGAGGTGAAGGACTGTTTGCCAAAAGGTAAGTATAACGGGAGGCAGATGGGGCCAGATTTGAGCAGGTAATTAAATTTTCCCAAAAACAAGGTAGGTTTAAACCGGTTAAAGCGTTTGTTTTTTTTTTTTAAACTTTCTGCCTATATCTACTGCTATCAAAAAAAACGGAGAGTTTAAAATCCCTTCAAGCACAGCACTGTGAAGGCTCTCCTCTAACAGCCTGAACTACTTCCCAGGGACCCCAAAAACCATGGCAGGGAGGGAGGCGGCAAGCAGGGGGGATGGACCTGCAGGCTTATTACAAGTGATCTCAGCGCCATTGCCAAAATCACTTTTACAAAACGAGCGGCGGTTTTCTCCGCTCTACATTTAGCCCTGCTTGCCTGAAGCAGGGCTAAATGTAGATAAAAACGACCCGCCCTGCACTGCATCAGGCGATCGGAATTTCACCCCTGTATCTCTATTGCAGATGTAGAATTGTTTTAAACGCTACTGAAGTCAGGTAGACCTTGTACTAACCACCTCCATTTTCATAGTCTTGCCTCTACATTCCTGTTATGGCAATTGTGCTGGGTGTCTTTTTAGGACTTTGCCTTCCAATAGACAACCGAAGTTAGACCCAATCGGGCTTTAATTCCCTGCATGCGAATGAGCAGGCAACTCAAGCACAGCAGCATTTTGTCTGGATCAAGGGTAAATCAGGAGAAAACCTCTGAATCATGTCATCTGTGAATGGATGGCAGTAATAAGTGTGGCTTTTCTTCTGTGTGACCTGCGGCTATAAAATCTCATGTACGTAGTTCTTACACAACAATTATCCCATCTCTCCATTTCATTAATAGAGGATGACCCAGGAAAATTATGGAAGGGACATTGTCCCCTTTAACGACCACAGACTTATTCCTTCAAAATGATCTGTCAAAGGTGTTAAAAAGAGGCCCCCATAGCAGCATTAACAATTTCTTCCAGGGCAGAATAGACACAAGACAAGATGAGGAAACAGAAGGCAGTCCAAATGGGCATGATCAAGTGAACAGGAAGAATGCTGAATAAGTTCAAACCCACATTTCATAGATGAGCCATGGCAACTGCTGATGTGTGGCTTTAATCATTAACACCTCTTAGGTTAACTAGACAAATCAGCGAGAGCAAGTAGCTGGAAGAGTTATAAAATAAAAAGTTGTATGGGGTCATGAAAACCAGTTTTTTTAGGTTATGAATACCTGTTTAATGGCGGTCACTGTAATTACAAAAAATAATGGAAGTCCGCTTGTCACTGGACTTGTTGGAGTATCGATCATAAGCTGCAAGTACAAAAAAATAGTTACCGATACATATTCATACTATTCTCAAATTTTACATTTGTTAACATGAAAACATTTATCAAGGTAATCTGAGATCATTGGACTTCATTATCCTATTAATGCTGCCAGTTCTGGCCTTTTGGATGCATTTAGGAAGATACACCAAACAAGTTACATCTGTGCTTGAAACTGCCTCTACAAGCAGAGTTCATTCATACTTTATAAGAATCTGAAGGGACCACTCTATTCTTAACAAATGTTCACTAAATAATGAGCCATACTTGTCCTACGAAAACACTTCTCTATAGATTTCCACACACTTCCACTAAGGCAATTCTCTAAGCAGTCACCTTTATGAGTGCATATCTTCTAATATATTCAGTATAACTTTTTACAATATTCAGAAATGTAAGCTGCTGTTCTCAAGAGCAGTAAAATGAGGTAAAACATACCAAGTGAACACTGTAGGCCCAATTCATAAAAATCTGGATGCTGGAAACTCCCATAACAACCGTTTTCTTTCCATTTTTACTTTATCACAAAAAAATAATTGGCTGCTACAGACTATGAAGGGGTTCCTTTTCTGCATTCTCTAAGGCAGTGTTTTTCAACCTTTTTTGTGCAAAGGCACACTTTTTTCATGAAAAAAATCACGAGGCACACCACCATTAGAAAATGTACCTCTGTGCCTATATTGACTATATATAAAGTAATTCTCTTGAATAGGAATCAAACACAAAGAAATTATTTTATAATTACTTTATTATGAAATAATAAAGTATTTTATAATTGTTCATATTTCTGTTCAATCCATGACTTAACTTCACACAAATACGTTTTAAATTCAAACTGTTGCACTCTTTACATTTAGTTCTGCCCTCTGCGGTTAGAATGAGTCACACTTTAATGATCACACATTGTTAACTCCTTCATGGCACACCCAGCATTACCACACAACCCCAAAAGCCCCCATGGCTTTGTGGGGTCTCACCAGGGTAGCAGATTTTGCCTTGTACACACATGCGATGACTCACCGGCCCAAGAGTGAGGAGGAGACTCAGCCCAAGTGATTCCGTCAGGTAACGAAGGGAAGGGGGAGGAGTCTATGTGCGTGACGTCACCGGACTCCTCCCTCCTTCCCTTCGTTACCCATCACGGACAACTACATCACCCGACTCCTCCCCCCTTCCCTTCGTTAGCCGACAGAGCCACTCGGGGAAGGGGGGAGGAGTCCGGTGACGTCGATGTCCGTGACGTCACCGGATCTCCGACGGAAGACCCGGAAGCCGGCGGAGAGGTGAGTAACTTTGATCGATCAAAATAATTTTGATCGATCAAAGAAATTAACGATTAATCGACGGCACACCAGACAATATCTCACGGCACACTAGTGTGCCACGGCACAGTGGTTGAAAAACGCTGCTCTAAGGTGCCCATTTATATTGATGGTACTGTATCATTAATTGCTTTGAGCTTAAAGTGAAGCAAAACTATTCATAATGGGTTCCTAATAAACCAAGTCTATATTCTCTGGGAGATTGGTGCAGCCTACATTTTTGTCTCCACTCACCTAAGGCTCAACAGGCTAATAACACTATAAAAACACATTAATTATAAAAAATGTACCAAACCACAATATTTACAGCATATGGCTTATAGACACAAGTTCTGTTAGAAACACTTTTACTGTGTGAAAAATCTGTATTGTTTAAGGGAAAGAGTCCAGTACAGTTATAGAAGATAACTGATGCCAGCTCCTTGTGTGTTTATGAAGCCACAAAGAACAATCTTTCTATTCACAATGCATTCATTTCCATCCATGTTCTCCCTTTACACACTTCTACTTTTATACAAGAATTAACCTTTTAGAAGTGACTTCCCATTTTTGCAACCTATTTATAAAGTAGCGGTTACTTTGTCTGTGCTTTCCTATTCCTAAATAGCTTCACTTCTGCAAAGTGGTCAAAACTAAAGTACTGTAGTAAATTTCATCGTAATAAGGATCAACCTGTATTAAAATTTTACCTCTAGGGACACTGTGAAAGAAGAAGAGATGACGTGACAGACCCTTAGACCTTTTGACTGCAGGGCTGTAGATGCGAAATGTTCCCTGTTATGTCAGGCCTTTAACTAAGGAAAAATAATTGTATTGTTGTGCCCTGATATGATATAGAAGTCACATATATGTGTAACTACTCAGACTGTAGCCTGCAGCTCAAAGAGTCATTTTAAGATCTAGAATGGGGCAAATGCCCCCTTGGGAATAGTGAACCAATTGGAGCAAAATCCCCAAAACCGTTCCGCCACACTTTCCGCTTGAAATTTACAAGTCAACCCATGATTGGGTGGCAAAGTACATAGTAAGGAGCATATTAAGGAGCCGTATCTATGGTATCAGTTTGAGAGTCTTCTGAGATCATACAAAATTCAGTAACAGGTTAATTTGACCTGCATTTGACCCACTCAAACAGCTTTTGCATTCCCATTAACTTATGGGAATGCAAAGCCCATTTAAAGCTAACAAAAGCCTGCTTACACAGGGCCTAACCACTTGGACTTTCCCTTTAAACACTAATAAGATTGTTACAATCCAACAGTGACAATGGCACAAGGCAGAACTTTCCTTGGAGTTATGGCCCTGGTTTACCACTATAGAAATCTGCTGGCGTGATTAGACAAATCAAGAGGAAACAATCTTATGGGTTAGGTACAAATATTTCATGCACGTGTCTATGAGGCCTAACACATCTCTTACCAGCACAAATGAATGATCACTTGTATAAGCTTAATTTTGTACAATAGTGCCAACTTACCTGAACAAGAAATATGATGAGAAAGTAGAAATTAGCTATTCTTCTAAATTGTTCAAACAAATTTTTTGGAACAAAATTCAACACTGTGTACTGTAAAGAAAGAGAAAATAGCGATAATGTAGAGATACAAAAACATGAGCTGAAATGAAAAACCTTGAGAGAAAGAAACAGCACAAACAACCACAAGTATCCATAAGGTCAAAAAGCCCTAATGTTTTTTTTTCTTTAAAGTGTCACTAAACTCAGGAGTTAGATCCTAAAAATGCATCCAAGTACTTAACCATCAACAAAATGCCATCAGGGGGGTATGGCCGATACTCAGCCTGGGGGGCCCGCCCGGGTCCCTTACATGACTAACAGCCACCGGTGAAGGGCGAGGAGGAGGAGGCCTGGCCCTAGCAGCGCAGGGCCCCAGCATTGCCACTCCAGCGGCTTTGAGACAAGCTAGAGCCCCATCAGCGACGCTGCTCGTCTGATGTCGGACTGGCCGGAAGTATCGTCACGTTGGTGACGTGACGTCACTTCTGGCCGGTCCGGCGGCAGACGAGGCCACGTGTGCAGGTAAGAGGAGCTAGGAAGGAAGGAAAGGGAGGGATGCAGCCCTGACCAGCCCACCTGAGACCCCTTCAGAGCCCACCATAGACAGTCTCAGATGGGCTGTGCAGCATCTCTGCAGGGTCACTCTCAGGTGGGTCCTGTGTCCAGCGCGTCACCAAGCCCTGCGCCCAGCACGTCACTAAGCCCTGCGTCCAGCGCGTCACTAAGCCCTGCGTCCAGCGCGTCACTAAGCCCTGCGTCAAGCGGGGCTCTGCCTAAAGGGCCCCAAAATTTCTGATGGCTGCCCTGCCTGTGATAAGGTGCCCATACATCTTGCGATTATCGTCGCACATCTTTTGTCGAACCAGCATGCTAGAAAACCCGCCGAGAATCATACGATTCTCAGCGGGTTTCTAGCCTGCTCGTATGACAACTGCAGAACGGGCCGTTGTGCGCACGCACACACTGCCTGTTCAGCATTGCGGTCATTCGAAGCCCGCCCCTCAGCGGGGCGGGCTTTCGATGATCGCAAGTACAATCTGCCTGTCCAAGATGGGCAGATCGTACGAGCTTTTAATAAGCTTACGACTATCGCAAGACAAAAGTCTTGTGATGGCCGTAAGGTGTATGGGCACCTTAAGACTACAATCTCATGTTTAGTTTACTGATTTGTATTGAGACTGTAGTCCATCACAGGAGTGAGCTTGAGAGGTGGCTACTTTACAACACAAGGAAGGACAGTGTCAGCATGACTTCAGAGATTTGAGGATCTACAGCTGAGTGATACAAATAAGGTAGAGTAGAGTTTTATTAATAATTGGGGTACTTGAATACATTTTTAAGATTTAAAGTGACATTAGAGGATAAAAAAAAATTCCCTCCCCCCATGTTAATGTTAGCACTTACCTTAAATGATGTCTCTTAATCCGATCTTCCTCTTCTTTCCCCATGTTTTCATCTGTCCCTCCAGCGGTGCGGCGGCTCTCCGATCCAGCGCTGACTCCTCTCTGCTTACAGGCACTTCCAATTCAGCGGTGTCTGCAGGCGGGTGCACGTGTCCATAGACTTACCTTGCGTCTCTGCTCGTCTCCCGGCCGAGAATCCAAACTGTGCATGCGCCCGCTCCAAGATCCTTTGCGGCCGCACGAACAGTTCCGGACTCTCGCCGCGGGAGCGCGCAGCGATAATGAGGTCAGTCTAAACCGCTGTATAAGCAGGTTTGGTTTTTTTTTTACGTTTTTGCCTATATCTACTGCTTGTCAGCAGTAGATATAGGCAAAAAAACGGGAGGCTTTAGAACCCCTTTAACTCCTGAGTTTATTTTTACTTTAATAAAACCTTTAGCAAAACCTTTTTTTGTTGTCAGTGGCAGCTTATGATCTTTGACTTCTTACACTTAACTGACTGACTCCTGAATTCTACATTCATTTGCCTTTTTTGGAAATACTATTACTTTATGATGCTCACTCCTGTAACCCCATTCTAAATGTCAGATATTTCAGTATCTACAGCCGAGTGATAAATAAAATATATTTTTGTTAATAGTTAGGGTACTTGAATGCATTTTTAGGATTTAACTCCTGAGTATACAGTCACTTTAAGGGACCGTTCACACTAATGCACCGGTACCGCCAATGCAGCTACTGTGTGTTACAGGGCGGCAGGTGCTTTGCCTTGCCATTCATTTAAATGGCACCCCAAACGCACCTTCCGGCCGCAATGTGCTCAACCGTGCCGCAATAACGAGCGTTGCGGCTGAAAAAAGAAGGCATTGCCATGAAAGGGCCCATAACTCGACTGCAAATGGTAAGTAAAATTTTTCTGCCACATTAACAAGCTTCGAAACCAAGAATTCTGAGCAATATTTACACCATGAGGTATTCATATAATTCACAAAGTATCAATATAACAGTCAGCCACTTGTAATCTATATAAAACCTCACAAATCCAGGAAAACTGATATATTGCAGCATTCTCTATGAGAGAACCTACCCAAGTCAGCCATTATAGCTGCACAGGGATGTCCAGTAAGAAACAGCATGTCGTCTATACAAATAATACTATTTGCTTATTCGATCGCTAGACAATATGCAGTAAAACAACTGGATTACTCTCCAGCCAACAAAAACAGAAGCATCCCTCTGCACTGCACGTGACAGTATTTTCTTATCTGTGCTTGAAAAATGGAAGGACAGCCTCAGTCAATAAGCCACATAGGTGAATCACTTAGATCCCAATTAAGCAAATCCTCTTCTTGGTTTGGCAATTTAGCTTTTTATGCCCCCTTTCTCCAGCTTGCTCATTGGACCTTGAATTAACATCACCACCTTTGTCCAGTGAGCTGACCAAGGAAGCAATTGCCTGGGGTAGCATGTAATGAGTTTCTTAAATATGTACTTGCTGAAAACAATGCTCACACATAGTTTAAATGTGGGGCAGCACACATCTACGTGTAAAAATAAGATTTAAACCAGGGGTGCCCAAAAGGTCAATTGTAAACCTAATGTTGGTAGATCGCAATTTGGTGTTAGTTGCCCTGTTAATCTGGAAGCTCAGCTGCTGCTGCTGACCGGGTGCAGTTCGCGGTGTTGGTCGGCAGGTGGCGCTCTTTCCCCTGACCAGTCTCTGACACCGGAAGCTGCAGCGCACAAGGCTCTGCACCCAACTACTCAGCGGTGGTCTCTGCGCTGGACCATGGGGCCACACATTGGGAACAGGCCCAGGCCAGGTAAGTGGTGTTCTTTATCAGAGGGAGGGGGCATTGTGTACCGCAGCCTAGGTTATCTCTACCCCCTGTACACAGCCATACAAAACAAACATGTCCATAGACAGCTGCTTGTGTATTGCATGTGTCTGCATAATCTTATATTATGGTAGGCATTGGTTAGATTGGCCATTGCAGGTAATAGTCCTATAGTTTATCTCTCCTCTGATAAAGAGTGCTAGGTCTGACTAAGGACCAGTTCACACTAGTACAGTGCGTTCATTGCACACTCCCGTAGGATGAACGCACAGTACAGCACAATCGCACCTGTTCTGGTGAGGGAGGTGTGTTTTGGTGCCATTCCTTAGTAGATTTCATTGAGCTGGTCATTTGAAAAGTAGATTTTAACACAAAAAATTGTGGGCACCCCTGATTTAAACCTTCCGATTCAGTGCAGCTGAGCTGCAAGGGTTCTTTTTTTTCCTCTCTACACTCACACTTAGTGCAGTAAACCTCAGTCCACAGAAAAGGAAGGTCTTCTCAGCTCTATGTGATGCTTTGCTTCCACACATCTGCTGAGCAACACAGTCCACTAAATGACAGGCGTTCCGTGAAAACAAGTGTGTGGTATTGCTTCTCAAAGAAACTTGTTGTGGCGTGGCCTCCGGGAACTGCACGCTATAACACTCTCTAACATGAACACAAGATGGACATTAAAGCTTGTTCACACCATGTCCAGACCAGAACAGTTTTTGGCCGCACCTGAAATGCATCCCACTGTATTCATATGGTATTTCTGGGCTCTGTTCACACCAGTGCAGTCTGTTCCGGAGGCTGCGTGCACTATTTTTCTGGTCTGGAACGTATGCAAATGCATAAAAACGCATGCAAACGTACTGCAATGCACTGGATGCACCTGAAAGCCCATTCTACGCTAAACATTTAAAAAACCCGGACCGGAACGTGTCAAAAACTTGTCAGGAAAATGGTGTGAACCTGGTCTAAAGAAGAGATGAACACTAGAATCGGTTTTCTAATAAAGCCAGGCAGAGGGCAAAGGACTAGTCACCAGTATTGTCTGTGGTCTCCCTGCAGCTGATCTTTCCCCATTACTGCCTTATAATGCCTTGTTCTGCACTGTCTCTGTGCAGAGGCAACCATCCTGGTAGATGCAGGGCTTTGCGTCCTCATGTCAGAGTCTCCACAGTAAGCAGCAGTGTAGTGACATCAACAGATCCCACTCCAAATCTGGTGACTAGCATCTACAGAGGACATTGCCTTAAGCTGCATTCGCACCTAGACGACATTTTAGTTTTTTTGCAAATTTTTACACACATTTTATGCACATACATTAAGTCGCACGTTTTTGCAAAAAGATTGTGACACATTGATGTAAATTGTCAGTCATAAAAAGCCATACCTGAAAATAAAAGGGACAAGT